GTAAACACTTAATGTGTATAAAAGTTTTTAAGCTTATAAATAAGATTTGGTAAATATGAATACATTTTAGATTCGACGAACATCCACATATCGACCCTTGCCCTCGAATGATTTCGCCGTCGAGTATGTTTCAAGTGGAAGTGACAAGGTGAGTGTTGTTAAAAATTAAGGCAATTATTTCTTTCGTGAAAATTTTTACTTGAGTAGAACTTAAAATCTTACATTGATAATGAACATCTTAAGTCTTAAACAGGAAAGCCAGCGTACTTTTCTGCATTTATGTGGCTTTTACAAAACTAACTTGTAATTTAGTATATAATTTAGCTTATGAAAAAGGCGGTGGCAACAAGATTTGGATGATTTTTCGGATTGTCTGATCAAAATTAACTGGATTTGAGTCTTATACTTTAGACAAGTCCATCATATCGTTACATAACGGTAAGAGAAAGTGTTGATGCTATTCGACAGCGGCTGAATGAGTTTAATGCACCTCAATCGGTTAGAAATGATGGTTGTGGACCGATTCGAGAACATTATTATTCATCGATCGGTGGTAGTGATTATGAAACAGTTCAGTTTTTCTCCAAAAATGAATAATTTCCTTCTTAATGTTATTCGTATAACTTCAATATCTAGATAATTTGTTGTGAAATACATGGATTATAATCTGTTGGGATAGCAATCCTAATATCTTGACTGTAGACATCCCTTTTTTTGTTTTCTTGGTTGTTCATAATTCTCTTTGTAATTAGCATTATTCTTAGTTGCAGTTACAAATCTCAGCAGCATCGCCTAATCAGCCATCATCCGATAGTCAAGTTATCCCGTCAACATCTTGTGTAATTCATGGTTTGTTATATCTTTAAACGTAGTTAAAAAAATTTTCTCTGAAATAAGGAATCAAATCATTTTCACAATCAATGAGGAAGGATACTAAGCTACAAAAAATACTAAGCTACTAAGCTACAAAAAATCAGTTGTATTTTAAAGGCTTGAAGATAGTAATTTATTAATTTTGATTTCCGTAGAAACTCTTATTATCACTTGTCATATATAAATTTTTTGTTTAATAAATAAATGACTTTATTTTAGATATACTACCTGAGACTATGTCTGATGCTATTAGTACTTGTGAAAATATACCACCAAAACCACCCACTTCTCCAATACCTCTGCGTATCGCCGCTGTAAGAGAAGACAATTTGCAAAAAAAGCGTCCATTATTATCAGGTATTTGAACTTATAGTCTTTTTTTTTTCTTTTCTGTGAAGCTAGTTTCCTCGATAGGAGGGCTTGAAATACAGAAGTTTTAGTAAAAGAATTTTGCAGGTAAGTAAACCGCCTCATTAGGCTGTTTGGTTTTTAATTTTGTCTTTGCTCTGTTTCAAAAAAATAATGCTTGTTTCAGGCACTAATGATGACAGATGTAGTAATATTTCGGAAAAAATTCGCAGACTTAGAACGAATTTTTTTGATCAAGAATTCAAATTGTTAGATGATTTGAAAGGACCTTCATCAACTGATCTTCGATTTGAGCAGTTACTAGGAGCCACTAATCAACATGAAACATCAAAATGGATTAATTCTTTTCAAAATAACCCAAATTTCGATTCGGAACACCATGTCGATCAAGCTTCATCAAGCAACTTTGATAACACCTATCAGCATTTGCCAAAATTAACTACTGGTAGATCACAAACACATAATGCACGGAATGATACGTGGAATGCGCATCTTTCTACTGCAGAACACTGTAAAACTATTGTTCAGAATGAAAGGTCTTATAGCTCCAACAAAGCAGATGTCCCTGGAATAAAGCAGTCTGTCAAAGTTGTAACCTTTCAGCAAGGTAGCAGTTTATTCGTTCGGTACAACTGAAATTTATACATGACATTCATAGAATCGATTTTAGAAGGAAACAACGACGAAGAGCAGTGTTTCGTTTTTAAAAGACGCGACAGACTCAGTGAACAAACTACGAATAATACTAATAGTGCTTGCTTTGCAGAGGTATGCTCTAAAATTGCTCTTTTTTCTTTCAAATTTAATTGAAGGACTTTTCTACTTTTTCTTGCTGTCTTTTTTGGTGATCTTTTTGTTTAAAAAAACTTTTTTTGAAGGATAAAAAAAATCTATCTTATGCAGTTTATCAATAATATTCTAATAAAGTGCTTTATGCCATCTCTTAATGGCTGAAACTTTAGAAACTTTTGGTGTAGAATTTTTCAGTAGTGCGAGAAACCTGGTAAGTGTTACAAGCAGAGGGTGGATTACATTTTTTAATTGTATAATATGGGTCATCAAGGATACTAATTATTATGTTGGTGGTTTTTTTATCACATATGATATTTTTAGACCGCGATGGAATTCCACAAATAAGTCTATTCCCTTCGATGTTCAATCTTCTTTCGCAAATCAATTGATATCAATAAATTAGGCGTCCAGATTTTCAGATCTTTAGCCAGCCTTGTTAATCAAAATTAAAGTTAATATATTTTTCATCTGAGTATTAAATTTTTGTAGACATCTTTGGATAAAGCTTCAAACAATACTGGAGAAAATATGGAGATGCAGTTCTGTTCTCAACAACAAAGTGTGATGGATTTATCATGCGGAGAAAATGGTACTGAATTAATTCATAATGCTATAAGCTAATAGTAACTAACTGATGTGAGAAATGTTTTTAGATTCGGGAGGTGGTCGATCAGTGCAAACAGCCAGTCTTAGCTTCTCACATGAATCAATTAATGGAAATGGTTGGTTGTAAATTATCCTTTACAATAAAATAAGGACACAAAAAAATGTTTCGTGAACATACCAGATTATTCAGAATTTATCAGCAATGTGTAGGACAATACTATTTCCGAAATTTTCCTTTGGTAAAAATATCTTACTTGTTATTTTTTATCTCAGTTTATAGTTCTAAACAATGATGACAATGGCAATAGAGTGTGAACTTTCAACACCGATCCATCTTATCGCTGATCTCATCCGGTAACATTTTTTCTGTTATATAAAATTCTGTTATGTAAAAATTATTTAGGACTGTCAAGATTTTTGTAATATTTTCTATGCTTTGTTTGTAGGAAGAAGTTTTTATTCTATTCGTCAAAATTTCATAGGGCTCTCAAAAAAAAAAAAGATAAAAAAAAATAAAATAAAGTAAAAAATAAAAAAAAATAAAAAAATGTGAGCATGGAGATCCTCATTCATAGTAGTGGCACTTTGTAATGTTTTTTTATTTTTTTTTTTTTTTTCACAGGTGAAAAAATACATTCATATAAGAGCGAAACGCACAGTAAATCATCAGATGCACCGGGAATAAGCCAGTACAATTTTCTGAATAGTCTTTTTGTTAGCTATTTTAACTTCTGTTGTCTCTATTTATCCTTATTAAAATTTATGTAGTTTTACATGTTTGAGGAGTTTCAAGGTTCCTTTTCCATTAGGTGCTAATTTGCCTTCACTTTTATATCTATGAAAATAAGTCTATGTTATGTAGTTCTTATTTCATATTTCATCTCCAACATTAAGTGATAATTGACGAGAACACGGCTCTAAATGTGATAAGAACTTTTCGATTTGAAACAAATAATGTCTGAAATTTGAGCCCTAGAAATTAAATTGGGTTAATCGAGCTGTTAATATCGTAATTGATTTTGGACGCAGTGGTCGAATTTATTTTGTTGTGGTTTCTGTAATTTGTTAGACATCATTTTTTGAATGAAATTTGAATGAAAAGTTGCAAAATTTTATTTAACAAACTTTTGTTAAATAAAGGATGGCATAGTTCAGGTACTAAACTCTGTTTCTGTTGTGATACTTATTGAAATAGCAGTGTTGGTTTACGTAAAATTTATGAAATTTATGTGAAGATGAATGTTGTGGCGAGAAGCTACGAACTGTTTGTTGTAAGCTCAAGGATTTTAGGGATACCGTGAACTAATGGTATTTCAAGTTTTTTTTTTTGCAAAACCTAAAATCATTAAAAATTTGAAATTAATTTCTTCATTACTTAGGTCTCTGGTCTCCTATGCATTATTGATTCGGGTGACTTTCACATATCATTTGTATTATTATTATTCCTCTTATATTGTTTCTTGCACTGGTTTTGTTCTTTGTTTTTCTCACTAATTAATAAAACTGTAAAGTCATTTAAGCTACTGCTATATTTTTGTAATATTGTAAATTCAGTTTTGAAGTGGTAATAACATCATCTATATATTTTTAATTTTATGATTTGATTAAGCAAATATTGTGTAAGTTCTGAATTACCTGCATACTTTATTGCTTCGGCAAATGTATTAGGAATACTTTCAGAAGACTGAACAATTCAGTGTTAAATTAAGTTGTAATTTTTTTCGCAATTTTTTTTTTTTTTAAACTTCCATATCTTGTACTCTTTGAAATTACTTAGATCGCCTATATCTCCATGATTAGTATCATCAATTTTTAGTATAATATTAAATATATCTAGTAAATAAAGTTCGGTTATTAATTGAAATTTAGAAATATGCTATTATAGACAAATCTCAAAATAAATGTAAGTAAATGCTTTTGCTACCAGTTCTCTGAATAAAACTTTAAAGACTTAATATATGGTCGATAAAATTACATCTTATTATTAATATGATTAATAAAATTACATCCTATCATTAATTTGATTGGTAAGATTCATCCGATTTATAATAGTTCATTTTGTGAATTGTCACAAGACATCGTTAAGTTTAACCATCTAATATAACGATATATTTTTGTTGGTATTCTTTCAAATTGATCTTTTTTGTCGGAAAATTCGTATTGTTTGGGATTGAATAATGCGAAAACTTATTATTTAAAATACATTATTCGTTCTTAAACAGTATTAATGTAATCGATAAGATTGCATAACAAATACTATTATTATCAACGAAACATATTTTCCAAATGATACAATAATATTTTTATTTCCAAAAGAAAAAAAAAAAAACTTAATTTCAAATATATTTTACAGGTGTATAATGTATACAATTCTTCATGAAACGGATGATTCAACCGCAGTGAATTTTAGTGAATGTGGAAAATTCTTTCCGGAGAAAGGTTTACAAATAGTTACCATTGGTGTTAAATATTTACGAATTTTTCGTGCTAATCCATATGCATTATTATTAAAAGATGAGCAACAATGGGCACAAACAACACGATTAGAATGTTTATTAGCTGTGCGATTATTAGCACCGGTACAATCGTTTGCTATTGCAAGAATTTCACGTTAGCTTTTCTATTTCTATTTGTAAAAATTTATATTGTATTGACGCTTATAGTAAAAACAAAAAAGTATTTGAAATTACTTAACAAAAATTTAAAATTTCACTTATTAATAATTTAGTGCATTTTTTTTTTTTTTTTTTTTTTTTTGTTAGAGAAAGAAAGAGAAAAAATAAACATGATAAGTGATAAAAATTGCCGAGGAAAAAAAAAAGGATAAGAACTTCCTAAGAAAAAAAAAAGTACTAATAGCCTATGATGATGATTGCAGTTAGTACTAAGATCGATTTAGATTGATTTTATAAAAGGTAACATTTCGAGTATTAAATTTCATATCCTTTTAATTCACACTAATTTCTTTATCAAATGGAACAAATCATTTGTAGAGAATCCAGACTGTGACAGTCTTCTACTTGGATTCGATGATGCAAAACTTTCTATTGTTGCCGTAAATCCAGCTGATCGGTGTTTGAAAACAATTTCATTACACTGCTTCGAAGATGAGCTGTTGAAAGATGGATTCACTAAGAATTTACCTCGTCCAGTTATTCGTGTTGATCCAGGTCAACGATGTGCTTCCATGCTTGTTTTTGGGAGGTAATAATTTGTAACATGCTTTTCGAATATCATTTAAAAACATTTTCTTTCCTTTAGTTAAGAAGATTAATATATCTTATTGGTAACATTATACTTATTCCTTCCTCGTCAATTAATAAAACTAAAGTTTGTGTTTCTTCCTTAATCCATATTCGTTCAAAAAAATTAATTTTATAATTAACGATGCATATTAACTTAATACTATAAAGTGGAATATTTATTTTAATATAACTGAAGTGTAAAATTTATTGGTATTTTCAGTCATTCTTATTTAGTATTATACATTATGAAATCTTATTTCAAATGCTTCATTTGCTCATCATCGTTTCAGATACCTTGCTGTGTTACCATTCAATGACTCAAGTACCCAATTACATTCATATACAGTTCAACTTTCCCAAATTGATTCTCGTTTGGTTAATGTGGTTGATATGGTTTTTCTTGATGGTTACTACGAACCAACATTATTATTCCTTTATGAACCTGTTCAAACCACTTGTGGACGGTAATTTTTTAATTTCATCCTTATTTTACAACGATATTAATGTCAATAATTATTGTATTCTCAACGATATTAGATTAAGATAACAAGATAAAATGATGTTTCATTAATTATTTGATAGATTCCGTGTGTAGATTTTTTTTTTTTGAACCCATCATCTGATAATGGCATGTATATTGCAGTGCTTGTGTACGTTACGATACCATGTGTGTATTAGGTGTCTCATTAAATGTTAAAGAACAAGTTCTTGCTTCAGTATGGCAATTAACCAATCTACCGATGGATTGTAATCAAGTTGGTTTTTGAACTTTCAAATTTTTGAAATACTTTTTTCATTATACTTAACCTTGGTTTTATTCATCTATTTGATGTCGATAGAAAATGAAACAAATAGCACTCTTTTGTTAATTGTTGTGACCTTCGTTTCTTTGTAAATTGTTGTCTTTCATGATCACTTGTGTCCTAAAATAAATGAATTTCTTCTTTTCATTTTAATTAATTAGAAATATCTTTTTTTGCAACTTTGTTTTTTATAGATTCTTGCAATTCCACGACCAGTTGGTGGAATTTTGCTAGTTGCTACAAATGAACTTATCTATTTGAATCAGTCTGTCCCTCCATGTGGTTAGTTAACTGTTCATCAGTCATATTCAAGTTTGATTCTGTCTATCTTATTTAAAATAACATTATTAAGTTTTAAAATTAATGATGGTTTTTGTATTTTGTACAAATGCAGTGTTTATTTCCAACCTAAAGTACTAGCTATAAATACTCGTTTTTCGACTCAAAATTACAATAAAGTTGTTTTGATTTCTTGAGGCTTTGGCTGTACTATCATTTTTACAGGTATATCGCTTAACAGTTGCATGGATGGTTTCACTAAATTTCCATTAAAAGACTTCAAGCATATGGCTCTAACACTGGACGGTGCTGTTGTGACTGTTGTTTCTACAAATAAGGTTTTCTCTCATAAACTCAAACCTTTCTGAAATTTCAAAAGTTCTCTTCCATAGATTCCTTTATTCTTAGGAGCTAAAATGCTTATGATTCGTAAATCAGAATTATGGCGACCAATATTTTCAAATGTTGACAGTGCTTCGCAAATGCCTTTTCATTGTTTTCAGATTTTACTGTGCGATCGCAATGGACGATTGTTTACACTGATTTTAGTTACGGACGCAACAAATTCGGTCAAATCACTGGAGTTGAAGTTTCAGTTTGGTAAGTTAAGAAATGTTTTTCACCTTCTTTTTCTTGAAGGTTGGAAATCCGGGAAAAGGAGGTTGTCATAATTGGCTTTTTGAAGCAGTTTTCACTGATTCCCATATTTTAAATAACATTATCTCTATTATTGTAATAATCTGGGACTTTTCATTAATTTGAGAAGTACACTATCGTACTGGGATGCCAAGAATAAATATTTGTTTAATAAAATTTAATGGAGGCGGCAGCTATGATTTAAAAACAACCAAAATGTTGTAATTGTCCGAAATAAGAATTTATATAATCTGGTAGTGACAATTTTCTAGAGATATCACGAATAAACTCTACTCGCTTTCCTTAGTATGTAAATTTGGAAATTGTTAAAAGCTATAAACAGAAATTATGGGGATAGATTTTATGAAATCATCCATTTCAGTTGTTGTATTCATTTTAATTTTAGAAGGTTTTGAGAAAACTATATACTGATTTATATTCTTCACTGTGAGAAGCAATGCTGCTTCATTTATGGCTGATGACAATGTAATGTTGATCGGAGAATTGAGTTACTGTTTTCTTTTTCCTTTTTTTTTTTTTTTTTTTACTGTTTTCTTGAGGTATGGTTTACTTTAGAAACGGTAATCCCATGCACGATGACTTCCTGTGCACCTGGTTATCTCTTCATTGGCTCTCGTCTTTGTGATTCCGTATTTCTACATTGTATTTTTGAACAATCTACGCTGGAAGAATCTGCAACAAAGAAAATGAAATTGAGCACCGAACCAAATGCGAATGAAGAAGATGAAGATTTTGAGTTGTATGGCGAAGTGCTTCCGAAAGTTGGTATTTAGTTTTCTTATCAGTAGTAATGGACGAGATGCAAATGTCTGTAATAAATTTATAGCGTATGTTAATATGTTTATAGGGATATCATTCCTTTTATCATTATGAGGATATTGTTTGTTTATATATTCCAGTAACGGATATAAACTGCTATCGATTATTTTTTTTTTAAGAAAAAAGAAGTCCTTAAAAACTAGATCTTTAGGTTGCAAAACCGGACGTAACAGAAGAATTGTTGAATATTCGCGTGCTTGATAAATTGCTTAACGTCGGCCCTTGCAAGAAAATAACTGGTGGTTGTCCGAGTGTCAGTGCTTACTTCCAGGAAATAACCCGAAAAGATCCACTTTTTGATTTGGTGAGTTTTTTTTAGAAGTTTTCGAGTATTGCATTCAGCGATTTTTTCATTTACTCAATGCAAAAATTACACTAGGCGGAAGAATATAGCTTTATATGCTTATATATCTCGTTAATATGGAACTTGACATGGATATTTGATCATGTCTAACAAATAGTATGGTTTTTTGTTTGCTCATAATTATTTGTCTTATAAAGATTAAGCATGTATTTTGAAATATATTTTAGTTAGAATGCGCATTATTAAAACATTTGCTGTACAATGCATTAAAAAAGTGGATGGTTTTACTTCTATTAACGAAGCTATCAAGCAATTTTCGATAAATCAATTTTAAATTAGCACAATTTAAGCTTTTAGGTATGTGCTTGCGGCCATGGAAAATTTGGAAGCATTTGCATACTTCAAAGGAGCATTCGTCCTGAAATCATCACAAGTAGCAGGTTAGCTCATCTTTTTGTAAAAGCATTTTTTGCCAGCAAACTCCTTGAACTGAAGAGTTGTGCAAAGATTTTCTAAATATTAAATATGATGCTTGTTTAGTAAGATTTATATTGAACAGGTATTATACATTTATATGCTAACTCTCAAAAGTTTTGTTAATAGGGACTAAGGTTTGTTAGACTTCATATTCTTGTTTAGTTTTCAGGTTAGCAAGGATATGTGATTGTGGTTGACAAACTAAAAAATGTAAATTATTTGGAAATATAGTCAAATAAGAGCAAAATTTTGTTTCAGACAATTGTTTTAATGCTTTCAGTATTAAATAAAGTAGTACTTTTTTCTTTGCTTGCTACTTATGAACTTATTGATCATACGTTTATAAAGTTAAGCTCTGCATTACTTTCCTAAAAGAAGATGGAGTTTTTTATTTTTATACTTAAGTTGAAGTTGGCGGCATAGTATTTTTTATGTCTTTTTTTTTTTTTTTTTTTTCAGCATTGAAGGAGTTGTGCAATATTGGGCTGTTGGGCGCCGTGAGGATGATACTCACATGTATTTCATTGCTTCAAGAGAGGTTCACTTTTTGTTTAACTGTATATTCAATCTTGGTAAGTGAACAAATACCACTTAAGTGATTCGAGGGTTGGAATAGTGTATTTTTTTACATTAGACGTTGTATAACTTAGTAAGTGATGTCGCCATGCTGTCAACAGATACATTAAATTAAATGACTGAAATGTAGTTCAAGCATTATGAACTAAATTTCCCTGAGATATGTCCCTTTATTATTAGATAACCTGAATTTTTAATTTATATTGAAATTTGTTAGCTGGGAACTTTGGCATTGGAAACGGATAATGATTTGGTAGAACTGGAAGCGCCGATATTCTCCACTTCAGAATCAACCATTGCTGCTGGTGAATTAGCTGATGGTGGTCTTGCTGTTCAAGTATGATTTTTTGCTTTTTAGATTTTTTTAGATTTGCTTTTTAGAGAGAAAAGCACAATTTATTTTTCTAGACCGTGAAGCTTTTCCTCTTTTTTTTTTTTCAGGTGACTACATCGAGTTTGGTAATGGTTGCAGAAGGACAGCAAATTCAGTATATACCACTCCAATTAACATTTCCGGTGCGGAGTGCTTCCATTGTGGATCCATACATTGCCATATGTACTCAGAACGGGAGATTATTAATGTATGAATTAACCAATCAACCGCATGTATCTTTAAAGGTAATAAAATTGTTCTCGCATCAATTTTTTTTTAAACCAGTTTTCGGATTATTCGTTAAAGCTAATAACTAACGTCTGTTACCTTCAATTAAACCTGGAATCCCCTTTGCAGGAAATTGATATTTCGAAAAGATTACGTCATGAGACGTCGCCAATTACATCATTATCAATTTATCGTGATATGAGCGGAATTATTCGATTTTGTTCTGCAACAAATATGTCTCAACAGCAACAAGCAACTGGTGCTAATATGCATATTCCAGAGCAAGAAGATTTTGACGATGTGGATGATTTGCTGTTGTATGGAGATTCAAAAAAATCAAGTGTGTGATTATTTTTCTCAGTACATATTTCTGTTTTAAATTTTTTCCATTTATTATTTTATTCAGGTTTGAATAAAGTTATGAGAGATCTGACTGAAATATTACGCATATGACAGACTCTTTTTTGAAGCACATGTAAGATCAGTTGCAAATGCATGGAAGTTGCAAATTTCATTTCTCTAATTTTGCTGAAACTGTTAATGGTAATATTTTAATATTTGTTTCAGAAAAAGAAACGGTGTCTAAACGTAGAATTGTTGGTATGAAATTAACAGAACAAAATACTCATTTTGATACCGATGTAATCGACCCAAATACGATTGTGCCTTCACATTGGATTGCAGTAAGTATTTGATAAGATATAAAAATGTGTTTTATCTGTCTGTGCAGCATCTAATACGCTTCATGTGATCATATATATTTGTTATAAGCATTTTTTTTTTTTTTTAAATTGAACAATATTTGTCTGATGTTCATATAATGTTTTGCTATTTTTAGATTGCTCGAGAAAATGGAAACATGTACATATATTCCATACCGGAACTACATTTAGTTTATATGGTGAAAAAAATTAGTCATTTGCCGGACATTGCCACTGACCAACCGTATGTCGATGACGAGCCAGTTACGGGAGAAGGTATTGATGCAATGTCCGGAACAATGACTGATACATTTGCTGTAAAGCCGGAAGAAGTGATTATGGAACTGGTAAACATTCTATCATCGAAGTTAATTTTCAGAAAAGTTTAAAATTAATGCAGATTATTTCAAAGTTTGTAGCTTCTTGTTGGAATGGGAATGAATCAAGGACGTCCACTGCTTTTTTTACTTATTGATGATACGGTTTCTGCATACGAAATGTTCACTTACAATAATGGTATTCAAGGGCATCTTGCTATACGGTATGCATTCGCTTTCCTTTCCTTTCGATTTTTCTATTTGAAAAAACAAAATCGATTTTCTCAAGCTTTAAATCAAATAATGATTTTTGCATGATTATCTTGGAAAGTTTGATTCTGAAGAAATGCATCTAGTGTTGCAAACAATAAAATTTTTTTTAGTTCCAAATTAAAAAGTTGTACTGTAATGTGTACGATTTAAAATTATTTATTAATTTATTTTCCTTTTATTTTGATCCAGCACTAATACTTCTGTAAAGTAATATTTGATATTATTAAAGGGATTATGCAAATATTTTTATCATGCAGACCAGAAATGAGTTGATTTTTAAAATGTATATTTTAAATATAGAAATATATTTTTCAGGTTTCTTTTGAATATCAATATTAAAAAAAGTTAATTCTCATAATCGTTTCAGCTTCAAACGACTTCCATATACAACTGTCACCAGGTCATGCCGTTTTCAAGGTACAGATGGCCGAGCAGCAGTTGAATCAGTTCGAGATGCTGTTAGACATAAAACTGTTTTGCATTTCTTTGAGCGAATTGGAAATGTAGTAAGCTTTTAGCATATTTTAATTTCCTTTGCAAGAAAAAAAAGTAGTATCTACTTAAACCAGTTTTAAAATGCCTCTCTTTTATAATTTTTTTCAGTTAAATGGTGTCTTTATTTGTTCGTCGTATCCATGTATTTTCTTCCTTGAAAGTGGTGTACCACGCCTTCATCCTGTTAATCTTGATGGACCGATATTATCGTTTACTACTTTCAATAATGCAGTTTGTCCTAATGGATTTATTTATTTGACAGAACGAGATCGGTTTATGCGTGTAGCAAAGTTACCGGTAGATTTTTCATTTTTTTAAACTTTTATTTCAAGCATAAATGAAAGGATATGTTCTGAGCGAAAGTTAGCAAACTAATTACTTGTTGTAATTAGACGAAATAATTTTCTTTTTTTTTGTGTGTTTGTTAATGTTTTTTCTTTGTTTTCCTCTCATCATGAGCAAAAATTTAAGAAAGTTTGATGAATTAAATTTAATATTTTACAACAAAGAGATTGCTTTTTTCTAGAGCGATATGATACTTGATGCATCATATCCAGTTAAAAGGATAAACGTTGGAGCTACTGTACATAGTGTTGTATATTTGCTGCATTCAAATACGTACGCCGTGTTGACAAGCGAGAAGAGGAAGGTAACAAAAATGTGTGTGCTTATAAATGATGACAAAACATTTGAGGAACACGAAAAACCGGATACATTTGTGTATCCGGAAATGGATCAATATAAATTACAAGTAAATCATTTATCTTTCCTTGCTTATTGTTTTTATAATAAAAAATCACAATTGAAAGAAGTCAAGGCAAAAAAATTCTTAGCAAAATGGAGTGTTAATATTTTCCTCTGTGAGATTTTGTAATGTTCATGTTTGTAATGTTTATTAAAATAGTTGAAGACTAGTCCTTATTATTATTATTATTTTTTTTTTTTTTTTTTTTTTAAATGAAACGATAATTGTTTCTCTTTGATGGTAAAAAATATTTTGATTTAGCTGTATTCACCAGAAGATTGGAAACCAGTACAGCATGTGGAAATACTTTTTGAAGAATTCGAAGTAGTAACATGTTGTGAAGAAGTTGTTTTGCGATCTGAGGGTACTGTATCCGGTGTACAAAATTATTTAGCTGTTGGGACTGCTTGTAATTATGGTGAAGAAGTTTTAGTACGAGGCCGAATCATCATTTCAGAAATTATAGAAGTAATAATTTTGTTCAAAAATTTATTTTTAAGATTATGTTAAGGAAAATTACTTTTAAGATTAGGAATTTTAAGATCAGGATCAGTTAGCTTTTTAGATGCAATATGATTGCAAATGGTTTATGATATCATTTAAATCCATTCTTTATTTAAGTTATTTGACGTTCGCAAACAAAAGTATTTATCTGAACAATAAAATAGGGAAAAAATAAGAGTGTTAGTTTCATCTTTCTGTATGTTATTTCAGGTAGTTCCAGAACCGGGACAACCAACAAGTAAGCATCGAATAAAAACACTGTACGATAAGGAGCAAAAAGGACCAGTTACAAGCTTATGCTCGTGCAATGGTTATTTGTTAACTGGCATGGGTCAAAAGGTGTTTTGTTGATTTAATTTTTTAAATTTATTAAATCATTGAATTTTATTTTAAGGAGGCATGTGATTTCAGTTTTAATGAAGAATGAAGTTTGATGCAAAAATCTCTTTTTTTCTTTTAGCTAACACGCAATTTGAAAATTTTCTGCAAGTTAGGGAAGATAACTCTTCTTAAGCCACTATTTTATCTTTTTATCTCAATAATATTCTAAGTTTATCTTCCTTCAAGGTAATTTTATTCGAGTTTTGAATGTCAAAAAGTGGTTTGATCAAAATTAACTATTTGTTTTAGTTTTTTTTTTTTTTTTTTCTTTTTTTCAAATACAATGATTAAGAAAGAACGGCCCAAGGAGGGCCATTATAGAGCCATTATAAAACTTAAAATTGTTTCTCACTGTAATATAACTTTCTTAATTACCCTCGTTTTAGGTATTTATCTGGTTATTTAAAGATAACAATCTACAAGGAATATCTTTTCTGGACATGCATTTTTATATTCATCAGCTAATTGGTGTGCGGAATCTTGCCCTTGCATGCGACATGTATCGTTCGTTGGCTTTGCTACGATATCAGGTAATCACTTAACCTATGATGTCATTTACTTAATCATTATTTTTAGATGAAAAATTTGTGTGCTCAATAGTAATGTTAAAAACTACATAAGTGATTTTCCCTAAATTTATTTTCAGGAGGAATATAAAGCACTATCATTGGCTAGTCGTGATATGCGCTCTGATGTTCAACCACCAATGGCTGCTCAATTTCTAATTGATAACAAACAAATGGGATTTATAATGTCTGATGAAGCTGCTAACATAGCCATTTTTAATTATTTGCCTGAAACATTGGAATCATTGGGAGGGGAAAAATTAACGCTACGAGCTGAGATTAATATTGGAACAGTTGTGAACTCATTTATTCGAGTGAAAGGTGATCATCAAAATAATAAACATGAGTTATTGCTTGTTAAAAACTTTTGAAGCTTTTTCTTTTTGTTTTGATTTTTTTTTAAATACTGACAAGTAATATATACTTTTCGAGATCAGTGAGTATTCTCAGGTAGATATGCGAAATTATCATTAAAGCTTTAAATTCTCATTGAGTACATGCATATGTGTAATTGTAAGTGTGCTCTTTTCTTCTCTGCACCACAATGAAGTTGTTATTATAGGAGAGAAGAAATTTGCGGAAAATTTGAAAATGTATTGTTTTTTTAGGCCATATTTCAAGTGGCTTTGTTGAGAATGAATTATTCTCATTGGAACGACAAAGTGTTTTGTTTGCATCATTAGATGGAAGTTTCGGCTATTTACGACCTCTTACCGAAAAAGTTTGATTTCTCTCTCTCTCTTTTTTTTTTTTTTTTGCATTCTTATGACCACGAATTAGATCGATAAATTTACATTAAAATATAATGTACAGTTTGGTATAAAAAGTGAATTCCGATTTGTTTATATCAAAATATCTTAAGAATTTTGAATAGTTAATTTATATTACTCCTAGCAAATCATGACTTCATTGGTTCGTTTGGCTTTATATTTGATTAGGTATTCCGACGATTGCATATGTTACAACAATTAATGTCATCGATGGTACTGCAACCTGCTGGTTTAAATGCAAAGGGTGCACGAGCAGCTCGACCACAAAGGCCAAATCATTATCTTGTTAGTTTTCTCTTGTAAATTTTTTTTATATTTAGTCAGGCAATAAATATAATTTATCGATTTTCTTTTCTTTTTTTTTTTGGCCTTATAAGATTTTAAACTAGCTGAAATAGAAGGATGTACTTATCCAGTTAGCTATTTAGTCTTTCCATTAATACTGTGGTATTGGGTGAGCATTCAGCAAAAGGAATATTAACAAAGAAAATGGAAATGATGTATGAAGAATTCAAATGAAAGTTTTTTTTTTTTTTTTTTTTTTTCAGAACACTCGAAATTTAGTGGATGGTGATGTAGCGATGCAATATTTACATCTTTCGCTCCCAGAAAAGAATGATTTGGCGCGGAAATTAGGGACTAGTCGTTATCATATTATCGATGATCTCATTGAGATTTGCAGGGTTACTGCGCATTACTGATATCTTAATTTGTTGCAGTATGTTTTTAATTGATCTGAAAAGGTTTTAGGTGAGTTTTTTTTTATTTACATGTGGTTTTTTCTTCTTTTTTTTGTGGAATATCAAGAATACTGTAACATTTTTCTGAATATTTAAAATTTTTTTTTTAATCTTCTAGATCTTACTCTATAATTTGACATATTCCCTTGTCATTTCAACACAATAAGTAATGTGTTAGGCGTTAATTATCTTACTTTTATGGTATTATCTTACAGTGAAATCATTCTATCAACATAAAAGTTTGTTTACTGCAAAATTGTGCTTATGAAAAATTTTCCTTTGAAAAATCTATGCTTATGTTTTCTTTTAACAATTTTTTGTAATTTATTTTTTGCTCTGTAATGAAGAATTTGCATATGTATACTTTTGCGTTATTGAACATACACGAAAAAGGAATGTATCATCAAAAGGTCAAGAAAAAAATCTTATAATGAATGACTGAAATAATTGGAGTAGTTATTTAAACAATTGTTTCTTTTTTTCAAAATGATATTGCTTATGTTGAAGTTTGTTCATATTGATCTTGGACGAAGAAAAGCGCCTAAGCTGAGTTATATTCTTGAGGAAATTGTCAGGAAGTATTACATTTGATAAAAAAAAATTTTTTTTTTTTTGTTTGAAAATGCATCGAAGAGTTGATTTTGCCTTTATTTTCTTGTCGTACTTTTGCTGTTGTTTGGTTTATATGATGATAGTGAGGATGAGAAATTTAGTTAAAAATTCGAAAAATTAATTGCAATTTCAATTTAAATTTGATTAGCAATAAAAGTGCATAAAGCTTTAGTGTTGATTATCATAAATTTGTTGTCGTACTTAATTGAAAAAGTTGTTGAATTTAGTGGAATTTGTATCTATCCTGTCTTTATCACATGTCAATCATTGTGATAATTTATGGAATGCGATGCACAAATAAGTTTCATCTTTATTATTACTACTATTTTTTTTTTTTTTTTTTGTTAAATGGGATGAAATTTGAAATGTGGAGACAAGGACCTCAACGAATGAATTAATTTTTAATATATTAAATGGAATTGTTAAAAGTCGGAGGAATTGTGTCACTTAATGTTATATCGATCAATCATAGTGATTGTAAATGCAAATGTGACATAATGATATTAATGATTTCTTATTGATTAAATAGGTTAATATTAATTTAAAATTGATTAATGAAATTTTAGTCATTTTGATTGATAAATATGAGTGTTGATCAAATCCTTTTTTCATTAAAGTGATTTCAATTTAAGGATAATTTATTTCTTCATTTAAAGAATTATTAATCAAGTGCTATTGACAATCCTAGAGCGCCTTTCTATTAAGTTCACCTTTCTGAACATTTATGATGCTTTCAAGTAATGTATAAACAAAAAAGATTGTTTTTATTGAATGGAAAATCGAGAAGCAACAACTTCTGAGTAATATCAATCATCGTAAGACTTTATGTTGTGGTTTTTCTTTTCTTTTCCTTTTTTTTTGCTTCAACTAAACAAAATATTTAAAAAAGCAAATAATATTATTATCATTTCATTCACACCACGCATAATTTTTGGTCGAAATATTTAAGATAAATTAGCAATACTGAATTTTTAAAAATTCTGAAATTGTTAATATTTTGATTTTTGTTGCCATTATAATTTATCGATTTGCCCACGTTATGTGATAATTTTATATTTCATTGCTATTTTATTATTTTCCAACAAATTTAGTCTAAATTTTAAAATTAAAAAGTTATTGGTAATTAATGATGAAAATTATTGAATTCTTCTTTTCAAATAATAGTTCTAATGGTTAAAAACAGTTTTAAAAAAAGAAGATGTACTTCAAACATTTTTGATAAATGATTACAATGATGTTAGAATAATATAATCAAACCACACGCAAATACACATATATATATATATATACATATGCGGTATTTTCATTACATAAAAAGTAAAAGAAAAAAAAATTTCGATTTGTTTCAGTTTTCATTCTTCATTTTACCATGATGTCTTATCAAATATTCTTATCAGTAGAAAAAAATTTTTTATTAGTGAAACAAAAAAAAAGACAATGTTCATTCCAAACTTTTTATACAAATCAATTATATATCATACAAATCAAATGATTTAATGCTAATATTAGAAACGCTATTTCAAAAATTTCCCTATTCAGTATTTTCAATTTTTTCTTCTGTTTCATTGTTATTTCGTTGTAATTAAATTTTTCTGTTTCAAAAAAAAATTTTCTTTTCGACAAATATTATTGTTAAATAGCACATACAAATGATTTTAACATTTAGTAGTGATAGACGAGGTGTATGTATTAATTAATTAACTCATTATTCATGTACATTTATTCTAAAATTTATTGAAAAACTATTTAATAAGATTAAATTCATTGATTTCACAAATAATTAATGGTTTTGCTTTCGTTTTTTTTCTTTTCAGGAATTCTTAAAATTTGCAATCATTCGCAGTATCTCACAGTGATTGCTATCATTTAATCGTTTTCCCATTGGAAAAAAGAAAATATCACTGCCAACAGTAACAGTATGATTCATTGCAATACAAACTTCAGATTTCTTGTAAATTTGATGAAAAAAGCTACTAAAAGTAATAAATTTTTTTTTTTATTACATTAATAATTAATGATAAATCAATTCAATTGTTAGCATTGATAATGTTATCGATTTGAAAAATAAATACTGATAAATAGATAAATTAAGAGAATTGATGCACAATTATCATACTGCAAGGCTTAAAATTTCAGTGATATTATTTTAATGATGAATTAGAGAGTTATATTTTGTGATAAAAAGAATAAAATAAAAATAATTAGATAGAATAAAATAAATGATTGAGATAGGTTAGGAAAATATGCAGAAAAATATAATATATTGAATGAGACTACAAATGACTGATATTTGTTACTAATAAATATTACGTCTAAAATCCTTTATGTAATATCATTTAACAAATAAATAAATCATTTTATCATTCTCCAAATGATTTATTGTTTATTTGTCCTATTTAATTAAATATCATTGGTAAGTGCTTAATTTTTTGCCACAATTTTTTCTTTTTGTTTTTTTTTTTTTTTGTTTTGTTTTTTGTTTTTGCTGGTCATATAAAAATCCCATTGGAAGGAAAACATATTTGTAAAAATTTAAAATTAAAAATACTAACCACGAAAAATTGCGGAAGAATGAAAAATATATATTAAAATTTTCATGTGTATATTAAAAAAAAAGAAAAAAATGTATTAAAAGGAAATGGATATATATATAAATATATTTAAAAAAAATTTCAATAGATATTAAGCTTAATATATATTAAGATTTTTTAACACTAAAATTCAATTTAAAAAATTTTGAAATATTATAATTAATGATTATTTTTATGACTATTTTTTAAATTCTAAATTTATCATAAATACAAAATAAATGTAAATATGTTCTAATCGATATTTTACTGCTTATTTTAAAATATTTTGTAGTACACACGTAATTAAATCATATGTCAAATACAAAAATAATTTTTTCAATTCTTTTAAAAACAACAAAAGAAGCAAAACAAAACAAAAAATAAAATAAAAAAAAATTAAGCAAAACAAAAGAAAGTGAGTGGTTTTCCCGTTTCAAGAAAAAAAATACATTTTCCGTTAATCATATATCAAATTAGTGATATCTTTCTTCTTATTTTGAACAGTTGATCATTTCAAACACTATGTGATTTATGAATTGCAGTGGAATCAATTTCATCCATTGTTTAAAATTTTTTAAATTTGTCATGATTATTTTTCTTTTTTACGACGATCATTATCATTATTTAGTTATATAGCTTTTGAACAATGAAATGAAATCTTTCACCAAACGAGGAAAGAAAACGGAATAATTTTTTGAAATTTAAAAAGTTTTTCGAATTTCAAATGTTTGCTAGATTTCCATGCTTAAACTTTTCAATTTAAAGAGTAAGAATTTGCTATTATACCTCTCTTCTTTTTTTTGATCTCTTTTTTTCTTAAAGGTTAAAAAAAAAATTTTTTTTTCAGTTATGAACTTTTTACTTAAATCTTTTCTTTTTCAAAAATAAAAAAGAGATTTTGAAAAATTCATTAATGTTATTGTTATTATCGCTATTTTGATATAACTTACTGCTTTAAAAGATATATAAATGGTATTGTATTGCAATCCAATTTAAGATGTTCAATAATTCAATAATCTAAATTCAATATTTTAAAAAGAGAAGAAATTTAATTTAATTTAAGGAATTTGTTAACCATTATATATGTATGTATATAAAATGAAAAAAGAATGGGATAATAGAAGGGAAAATTATAAATTGAATTTAGAAAATTCTAATTGAAATAATATTCTTGTTAATGTATTAAAGATTTTTATGCAGTAATCAATTAATTAATACATTTTAGTTTTAATTTATTAGCATTAAAGACATCATAAATTTATCAGTTTGTTTATAAAAATTTAACAGAAGTGTCTGATCGATTTATATGGTAATTGAAAGAAGCGCAAAATTTATTTCCTAGAAAGCTAAAAGCTGTATGTAATATGTATGTTTCTTTAAAGTAGATTAAGCAAGAAGAAGTTAAATACGATTTTATGAATGAAAAAAATTTTTGCTCATTTTTTTTTTTCTCATCCACTATCATTTATTGATCAAACAAAAAAAAGAAAATTTCTCATTTTTTTCTTATTTACACCCTAACTTCTTTTTCTATTTTTCTTCTATCATTTCTCGTTTTATTTTATTTTAATTTTTTTTCTATTGTTTTGATTTCTTGTTTACGACGAAAGGAGAAAAAAAGAAACGAATATTTTTTTTTCTGCGAGGAGGATTTTGCTGAATAATAATGTTATATAAAATTAGAAATGGAAATTGGGATTAGAATTAAAGAAATGATAAAGATTGAAATCGATATTGAGAGAGAACTGAGATAAATGAACAATTCTGTTGTTAGACTAGTGAAGTAGAAAAGATTAGAATTTCATTTTATTGAAATGATAAGAGTAAAAGAAATTTGATTTACCATTGTTTAAAATGTTTATTTCCCTTTGCGGGGTTTCTTTCTTATAGACACACAGTCATATATAAACCACACACACACACATACACACACACGCACACATACATACATACACATATATATTTGTAGCCACTATTGCTGTTATCGCTATTATCATTATTACCATTTCTACTGGATCATTATCATTCCGTCATATCATCGTATCATACCAGTAGCCTATCATTTCATTCAGAATTGTCCCATTTTCATTTCAGTACGACAAAAGAATCTAATACTACATTGTGTATTTTACTTAGCATTTTTTGTTTAAATGTTTGATTCTTATATTGGGTAAAAAAGCATTGCGTCAGTGATATTTCAATAATTTCAACTCAAAAAAAAAATTATTTTTAAAATTTAATTAAAAGCTTTTTCTATTTTTTTTAAAACTTTATTCCATCGAAATAATAATAAGTCGCAAATAGCATTTAAATACTGTGTGGATAAAATATAGGTTAGAAAATTTAGATAAAGTAAAGATAAATCGAAAGAATAGTTGACATGGAGGGGGAAGAAGGAGAAAAAAAAGTAAAAATTGAAGTAATTGATAATTTCAGTAAATTTAAAATTTTTATTGAAATTTAGAAAATCATTTTGCAATATGTGAAGCAAAACGTGATAAATTTTTCTGATATCATTACATCATTGAGAGATCATAGATCGTTTACGTTCCATTTTTATCAATTTCATTTGATTGGTGTGAAAAGGGAATGGATGAAGGTCAAGGTCAACTTGTTGTAACAAAAGTCAAAATAAATATTCATGGCTCAGCGCTTAAGTAAACTTGAAAAGTTTTAAAATAAAATTTAAAATGAAACTAGTGAGATGAATTTTTCCAAAAATTGTCATTGTTGTTGTAAAAAATGATTATTACTGTTTATCTCTCCTTACTATTAATAATGATTTTCTTATCCTGTATAATATTTTTTAACATTTATTTTGAAAAAAAAACTTTGCGAAATTTTAATGTAAGAACAGATGTGTGCTATTTTCCACTAAAATAGAAAAAGAAAAAAAGAAAGAGATTGATATATAAATATATTTATTAATTAATCATTAACAATAAAGTATTTCTCTTTTATAGCAATTATAAACATATAATTAATCATCGTTTTTTTCACCTTTTCATAAACAACTTTTGATCGAATTATAAATTTGTATTTTTAAATCTTAAAATTATTCTTTTTATTTTGCAAAAATAAAAAAAAAAATATTTTATGGGCATTCATCATTAAAATAATAATTTTTTTACAACATTTTATTGAATTATTTAGCTATTGAGTGGGTTGTCTATCTACATGGTATATGTCAATTTCTTCATATCAAAAAAAAAAAAACTTATTTTACTATATTCAAGACAATATTAAAGGTAAGAAGAAAGAAAAAGACCGAGGGAGAGAAAGAGCATTTTATGGATATAAATGAAAGATAAATGTTCTTTAATCTCAAATTGTTAGTCTTAGATCACTCAGATTAATGTTTTGAAAAATTGTTAATTATAAAATTTGAATTTATTATTTGCATTTCTATTTTCTTTTATTTTCTAAAAAATATCATGAAAATTTCCATTTATTATCATATATTTTAGTGCAAGGAAGGATTATTTTATCATTTTAATCTTTGATATTGAAAAATAAAATTTCCATAAAGCTCAAATATTTTCCACTTTTCTTATGAATTCTCATTGTCATTTGTTTACATAAAATATTTTGAAACTTTAAAAGAGGAAATCATGAAAGGATCAAATTGAAATTGTATGATAAGCAATGATCTGTATGGTCTTTCTTTTCTTCTTTAGTGATGGAAGGATTATTTTATCATATTACAAATCTTTTTTATCTTTTATCAATCTTCCTTTTTTTTAAAAAAAAAAATAGCAATAGAATATAATTATAAGTCAACTTATACTTATTTAAATTACTGCAGTATTTGCGAACAATCTTTATAGAAGTTTTTTCCCCGTTTATTTTTTGTAATAATTTAAAATAGTAAGCACTTGAAATTGAAATTCCAATTGAATTCGATCATTTTTCTAGTCCTAAATCTTCTAAAAAAAAGCAAATAAAACTCAAAAAAAAATCTTCCTAATTTATTACAATTTATTTGGACATAAATCACTGTTATTCTTATTTTTTGATTAAATTTCTTTTTTAAAATCTTCCTTTCTCTCTTTCTCTCTCTCTCTCTCTCTCTCTCTCTCTCTCTCTCTCTCTCGATCTTCCATTTTTTCATATTAACATACTATTATTACAAAGAAAAACAATTGCAAGTGCTTGAAATTGAAATAATAAGGAAATCTACATTAGTAAAATATTTATCAATGATTGATAAGAATTTGAAAATAGCACCTATCAATTGAAATCTAATACCAATCATGATTGATTACCATTACTTATCATTCAGTTATTTCCTTCTCTTCATTATGGAAATGTATTTGTCAGTATAAATCCACTGATATCATGTATATAATAATAATAATTTGTTCAATATTTTCTTCGGCTTTATTTTATTTTGTTTTTTGTTTGATTTCCTTCTCTTCTAAACTTTTCATTCTCTCTCTCTTTTTTCGAAAAAAAAGAAATGAACCATTAAATGGACTTTCTCCTTTCTTTTATATCAAGCAATTTGAATGTCCTGTATTAAACATACTGCTATAGCTAGCTATTATCAAAGTTATCATCTAAAATGCAACTTCCTATCCCATCGATTTAACCTGACCATTGCTTTTACTCTACCTATTGGCGCAAATTGGACATCCTCGCGCGCTATGCTTCTTTTTCTCCTTCTTCTCCTCGTCCTCTTCCTCACTTGCTGCTACTCTCATCTCATTCTGCTCGTCAACATTTAGTCCAATCGATCACGTGTCCTTCACGTTCCACAATTCATATATATGTATATATATATACATACACATACACACACACACATACATAGACAGACAGACGAACAGACACACACACACACATATATATATATATATATATATATACATTATTAGGAGATTGATGCGAAGAAGTTGCAAATTTCTTCTCGCTACTATTCTCAAATAGTATTTATGCTATCAATGGGGAGTGATATCTTTAGGTGTTAATATGATTGTTGAGAAAGAAGTTCAGATGAGTAGACGTAAGTGAACGTACGAATAGGTAGTTGTATGTAAACGTATGAATGGAGAGACGTATATAAAGGTATGAATAAATAGGTAGACATATATGAAAGTATGAAAACGTATGTGGACTTATGGATACATAGATGTATATGAAAGTATGAATAAATAAACGTATGTAAACATATGAATAGATAGCCGTATACGTATTTATAATTGTTTTAGATATTGCATTTAAAGAAATTAAACCTAAAAATGAAATTTCATTTATCTTTGCCATTTTTATTTCTGAAAAAAAATAATAAGACTTTAAGAGGAAAATATTGTCAAATGTCATTAGCTTTTAATATCGGAAAAGATTTTATTCGAAAAAAAAAGAAAAAATTATGTAGAAAATACCAATTAAATAGATGATAGAAAGGGAGAAAAAAAAAGAATATTGTAATAGTTAAAAAAAGGAAAGTTGAAACTTATCAAGAGTTACCAATAAAGACTTTACTAATATGATTTTTTTTTAAACTTTCGTTTATAATTATGAAATGAATTGAGTGGCTGATGATTTAATTTAGGGTTCTTTTTGAAAATTATATTATGAAATTTATAATGAATGTTTCTGCAGTTTTGCGAAATTCATTTTCTTCTTCAAATTTCAGGTCAAGCACTTACTGCCCAAATGTCAGTTGCACCACGCACAGTGCTTCATTTTTTGGTGGAAGTTGAAGCAGTACGACCGTGGGAGTATGTATTTGTTACAGGTTCATTGCCAGTTTTAGGTGGTTGGATACCATCTAATGCGTTCGTTTTATTTCCGGATCCGGACTCTGCGTAAGTTATTTTCCTCCATTTATTATTACTGTTTCGATTACTATTATTGTTTGATTTTATTATAAACGTTCAGAAATTTCTAATGAGAAAAAATCATTTGAACAATCGAGGAATTTTTAGTTTGTTCTCCACACCTTTAAGTTTTTTTCTTCTTTAGATAGAATCTGCTAATCTGGAGGAACTGAAGTATAATTTTTACTTTTTTTTTTTCTCTTTCTTGAGGTTAAAACATTGCATTAAAGATCTATGAGTTATCTTGAAATCATAACAGTTAAATGGAACTCATTTATGTTCAAAATTATGCTTTTTTTTGAAGGCAAGATGTTTTTCAAACAGTAATATCTAAAAGAAGTAAAAGATAAAAGCTTCTAATTGCATCAGAGTCAAATTTTTGGATGATTTCTATCATGTCAAGCCAATTCCTTTCATCATGAAAGTTGTAAATTTAGAAGTTTTAATTTCAAAAACAATTAAGTAAAAGATAGAAAAGGTGGCCTATTCTGATTTTAATGATTGCGAAAAATATTCATATGATACAACTTTACTGCGCACGAAACTAAAATGCTTGATATTATGATGGCTACTGCATTGGACCGGTTTCAGTGTGAGTATTGTTTGATTTAAAGTATGGTATAGAAAAAATAGTAATAAATATCGTTTTGAATAAAAAAAAATCAATATTCTGATATATAAATATATTTTTCAGTAGGCAACGTTGGGAAGGTGAAGTAGAAATTGGATTAGATCCAGTAAAATTCCGTTATTTCATTGGATATTATTTGCACAGTGGTAAAAAAGAAGAGAAAAATGCAAGTTTTTTTTTTTTTTTTTTTGTCACGTGAACCCAGAGCAAAAAATAAAGCAAAAAATGCTCTTAATGAATGTTGGATTTTTTTAGAAATATCTGAGTAAGTGCAAAAAAAAAAAATTTTTCAGGAATTGGTCGTTAGTAAATGGGAATCATTTCTAAGTCCCAGATCCGTCCTACCAACTGTTGAATCAGTCTCAGGTGTATGCCATTTACATGTCACCGACAAATTTGGCTGGAGTTGTAAGATTTCTGTTGCTTTATTTTTCTTTAATTAGCATTTGTTCCGTTACAAATTCACCATGCCATGAATGTATTTATAACATATTTGGGGAATTGTTCAACTAAGAAATAAGGTAATGGTTCCGTTTATTTGGGTGAGTGAAGCTATCGTTGAAAACAGTGTATTTGTTGTTTATTAGGAAATGTTCTTACTTGAACGTTTCTAAGGCTATCTTTGGAATATAATGAAGCGGAAAATAATTTCTTTCAGCATTTTGTCTCATTTTGAGAACAATTTTATTGTTTCAGCCGGCAAGAACCTTGTAAGTGAAGCTTCACTTATGGGAAAGAGTCAGAATGAGATTTTGCTTCGCTTTCACGGAAGTCCATTCAAATTCTGCAAGAAACGTTATGCGGAACGTTCTTATTGCATTAAAGTGACACCGTTTGATTTAAGACATAGAGAGGTAACTTTTGTTTTGTTACTCTTTAATTTTCGATATGCTTTTTCTGATTCTTTAGGAATTTTTGGCTATGTTCTGTCATATCTTTACTGTTGGGCACAGCATTCCACGGGCTAAAAGTTATGGAAAATTTAAATATATATTTGTATACTGATATATCCTTATCTATTGAATTTTTTCTTTTTTTTTACTGGATAAAAAGGTTCCATTGTCATAGAAAATATCACATCGATATACTGATTTAACGAGTAACTTTTAGATGTTCACTTATGAATTAAAAGGACGTATTGCTTGGCAAGCATGGTCATGCGTTGTAGGCTTTTTTGAAATTATTGTTAATGTTGTCTTGTGATGTAGAATTAATCTTTTGTGATTTACTTTGTTTTAAAAGCTTTAATAGATTTTATATTATCGTTTTCTCCTACGATTTCCATCCTAGGTAGGTCATCTATATCGGTGTCAAAGTAGCTAAATAATACTGATATAAATGAGACATGTGTGTTGCAAGCTTTCATCGGTGAAAATTGACCATACATCGTTAAGGACCAATTAAGTAACGGAATTACGAAATTAGTTTCATATTTAAACTCATAATACGATTGCATCAAACATATAGCTTCAACATTGATCATTTTAGTGGTTGTATTTTCTCAGTTCACACTGTTTATCACTATTTTAGATCAAAATTTCTAAATAATCTTCAGTATCCTTATTTTTGTTACAATCTGCTAGGTTTACTACTAGGACAACCTTATCATTATTTCAAGCCGTCTCCGGAAGTAATTCATAAAATGGTGATTTTCAAACAAAAATTACTTAGTTCTCCTGCAGAAGTCTTTAATGGAATCTGGCACTTCTACAATATACATCTGTCATATTAGGAATAAGTACCTTAAGTATACTTTTTCTGTTATTAGTGTGAGTGAAAAAGAAACAACTTCAGGCTAATCGATTTGAGGTGAACTTATTAGAATATTAATTGAAACCCCTTTCAATTTGGTTGCAAGCTTTCATGATTCAAGATTTTTAACCTTGCAATTTCAACACTCTTCGTATATAAAGTAGTGCATCGATGTATGAATTTTTTTTTGTTTTTCCATTATCAGTCAACTTAGATAATAAAAGGCAAATTTTCTTTTCTTTTTTTGCAGGCTGGCAGTGTAGATGATGATGATAATGAAGAGAATCAGGATGTTATGCAACCGATACTACCATCATATTCAGTGGCACATATTGCTGTAAGATTTTATATTTCTATCACATTTTTAAAATTATTCTTTTATCATTTGTGTACATCTGCATTGTACATTTTCTAATAAATACATCATTAGGCATCAAATGAATAAAAGACTGGTAGTGTAGGTAACTGATATTTTTGCTGGACAGTTGATGAGTTCTTTAAGGATTCTTTACCAAAATATTAAAGAATAGTACATTTTAATATTTATTTAAACTACTACGCATTTGCGCCACATACGCTTACCTACATTTCATGTGATTGATGTCTTATAGTTAGGAAGTGGAACGATTCGTTTTTAAAGTTTATGTGAAGTCTATCATGTTACGTTCATTGTTTTACAATTAAATATATTGCGTAGCAATGGCTAATAATTTCCAAAAAAAGCTGGAGTTACTATATACTAATCAAGTTTATGATACCAAATACCTAATGGGATCAACTGAACGAAATATTCTAGTACTGAGTGCTAATTTTTTTTTTCAGGAAGGCATCCGTATGTTTCCATTCAGTTGCATCGGTAGATGCACTGCACTGAATCTCATTGAAAATTAATATTTTCACTTGATTGTTAGATCGACGCAATTGTTAGCAATAATAGGAAGTGGCGCAAATGTGCTGTAGTATTTACTAGATGCTATAGAAAGTCTAAATCTAAATCTTTATATTTTCAAAAAAGAGTAACACACCAAAAGCTATGCCAATTTTCACTAGTAAATGAATAGCCATTACAAAAAGAAAAAAAATACAATTGGATTATTTTTTTATGTAAAAAAGAAAGAAGACATTTTTGCAGAGATTTGTAGTGAAATATGCGATTGAAAATGCGAATTGATGGATCTAAGGATTTTATTTTACATAATAATAGGTTTAGCGTGCTGTATTCTTTTAGACTTTTTCCTATTCCGGTCAGATGCTTTTTGTTTAGCAACCAGTTTAAGAAGTCTTTGATCTTTAAATTAGTAAATCCTTATTTCCTACTAAAAGCTTCAACTTGATTTACACCTGATTTGGTTGGTAAACAAGAAATTTCCATAAATTTTGTACAGTAACTCTCTGGTGCAAATATTTTGTCAGGAATGGAGAGATTAATTTCCTTCAAAGAGCGAATTTGGTGATTAGTCTGACTGCAAATGATTTGCCGAATTTTTTACCGATTAAAATCTTTCCTGGCCATCGAAGCCAAATCTTATCTTATTTGGCAAAATCTGGATTAAAATAACATCGAAAACTCAAAAAGTTGTTGGCTTTTGGTGGGATTCACGAATGCCGTGCTATAGTTGAAAATAAGAACTCAATTTTCCGAGATGTAAAACTAAGAAATTACGTTTTCTTTCAGATTCAGATATCTTTTGTTTTGTTTTTGCTTTGAGATCAGGTTCCAGCGAAATGCAAGTTTCTAGCACTCATTAACTAGTGTTAGCTCAGTTAATAAGTTTGGTGTTTTTGGTTTCATTAATAACTGATTTCAAAGAAGTGGAGAAAGAGAGAGAGAGAGAGAGAGAGTGGCGTATCAGTTCGGAAGGCTTATCCACCAGTTTTTTCGAAGATTATTGCTCTTTGGAAATGGCTTTTGTATATCTAAATTGATTTTTGACGAAGAATTTGGTTCTATAAGTTTTCTAAAAACTTTCATTTTCAGTTAATTTTCACGAATGAGGAAATTTTACAAAAGTGAATAGTTGTTATTCTGCTTTAACTATTTGCTTTTAAAAATTTCTGGAGAAAAGTGATCGTTTGAATTTAAGTCCTTTACGATGGTTGCGCCACTCCGTTAAAGCATAATATAATTGTTGAACATGGCATTTCTTGTAGTTTAGATTGAAACGAAGAAGGGCTGTTTACTGAAGCAGTGATGGGTCTACAATCGCAATAAAAAAAAGAGACAAACATAACCAAAATCAATTAAAAAAAAAAAAAAAAAAAAAAATTATGCCGATAATTTTTGCAAAAATTTTATTTTTTCTTTAAATATTAATAGAAATGATTGATTTGATTCTCCATCACTGCTTTTTAAAAAATATATTTCTGATGTATCTTTATTTTTTGTCTGTTTTTACTCTGTGATAGTTTTCCGTTACCAGATGTAGAATTCATAGTGGAGGTCACTCTTTCAGATTTTGCCGTAATGTGCTTGCTGCAGCATTGATGGATGGTATGGAAAAATTCAGTTATAATACACTGTGATGGGTTGTATCATTTCCATCCATATATGGTCGTATGATGATGATGATGATGATGATGATGATAATGATGATAATGATAATGATGATGAGGAGAGGAATACTGTGAGAATCGAGAAAGGAATGAAATCGTAGCGATATGGAATGTTGTCTGCACAGCAGCACATAAACATACCTCGTTTTCATCATAAGCTTTGTTATTGAAGCTTACAGATGATGATGATATTGAAGAAGCTGAAACCTGAAAGTGATACCATCAACTACTATCACTACATCTATCATTTGTCATCAGCAATGAATTGAAGCACAACTACCAAATGTTTGTTGTTGTGCGATGCAATCCCGCAATTTTAATTTTCAGATTTTATCATCAGATGATCCACACTACCGCGAACAATCGCCATCCGGTGATCGCTTTAAAGTGGACAGCGATTATTTTGTTTTCCGGACGCGATCGGTGGCGGTGGAGTTTCTTGTTAGCATCAAGTTTTTTTTTTCCAAAAAAAAATGTTTTTCTTGAAATGGCATACATTTCAAGGATTTTCTATTTGAAAAGCCAAAAAATAAATATCTAACAGTTATGGCTAAAGTTTTTTCAGTAATCCGCGAGCAAAATTTTGGTAATCCCGCAAGCAAGTTTTTTGAGATCTGTAAGAGAAGATTCATATTGGGAGTATGGGTGGGTGACAAAGGATAGACGACACTTAGTTAAAGATAACTTGAATGCTTCCACAAAACTTTAAAATCTTAATGGAAAAACTTAGTATTATGGTTGCAATTTCGAATTGAGAGTGGTAAGGATGGTCATCTAGAGTTATTTGTTCTGAAAGTTAAAAAATGAAGCCCGAAAAATTTTTGTTAGAGTTTATCTACTGTTCTTTGTGTGAGAGGGAGTTTGAATATTGAGGGACATTAAAGGAGGGTACCGACTAAATTTTCAGTCCCTCAGCCCATTAAAGAAAGGTCGCACTTAACCCTGATTAAAGATGAAGACAGCAATTTCAATTAAGAGTGGTCCATTAGATAATTAATTGGCCTCTGGAATTTTGCTTCTGCTTTATTTCACATGTTCGCATGTTGAAATTGATATCGTTGAATCAAAAATTTAGAAATGAATTAAATAGATGTGGAAAACAACTGAAAATATCCTTTATAATGGAATATTGTATGATTTACCGGAGTCAATTTGATGTATTCAACATGTGAGACAGTTGAGACCGTCAATGCTGATGTTCACGAAAGCCGCCTCGCTATATTAACGCGAAAGCGGTTTTTGTCAATCATCTCGTTAAGCATATTGTTTTTAACGCTTTCGATTAGACGTAAACGTTTGAGGGTTTCCGGATAGAATTATTTACCTATGACGAACAAAATGGACCGTCTACCGACCGTTTTGCGATTGCATATGCACTGCCTTCATCATTCCACGGTACATTTGGCGTTGCTGGTGAACCACTTTTGGTAAATAATCGCCCAGTTGGACAAATTAATGGTAATGTTACATTTTGTCAATAAATCTTACATTTTGCGGTTTTTTTTTTTTATTAGTAAGATTATAATATTTAGTTATTTCTTTGCAGTGGAATATTTGTTCATTCGACCACTTTTAATATCATGTTGGACCCAGAAAATGGATGTCTCGTATGCCAAACACTGGAAAAAGCGGCAACCTCTTGAAGTTGGTCATAGGGGTATGGGTAATTCGTATACGAAGTATGTGGTTTCATTAATTAATTTATGGTTTATTTCTTTTCAAAAATTACACGATGTCACCGAAGTTTTATTGCTTTGATAGATTTCAGGAAAGTTACCATAAAGCTTTCCTGCAAAAAAAAGCATGCAACCCTTACAAAGGAGTAAGGAAGTAGGTAAATAATTATTACTCCTTCTTTTTTTAATTTCTGAATATGCATGTAATTTTTCCAGAATGAATGCAGGTCGTGAGAATACAATACATTCGCTCAATACCGCTGCAAAACGCGGTGCTGATTATGTTGAATTCGATGTTCAACTTTCAAAAGATAAAGTGCGTTTCGCGTATTTAGGAAGGGTATCATGATATTTAACAAACTTTTGTTATAAAATTCAGGAATTCACGTAAAAGTTTTGATAGTACAGAAAAGCTAAGTATTCAACTGGCATTTTTTGAAACATGGAATAGTGTTGGCTGGGAAATTTACAAATTTTTTCTCTTACTGAAGGGAGGATATTGCGTATCTTTTATAGGTTTTTATGGTTTGTAAGAGTCTAAAATTAAGCTACTGATTTGCAGTATGCAGTAGGATGGTGTTATATTAAAAAAAAAAAAAAAATTGGTCTATTTTATAGATTGCCGTTATATTTCATGATTTCCACGTTCTGGTCACTGTAGCAAAACGTCGGACTCCTCGTCTGGAAACCCAACCTCCTGAAGCTGCCAGTGATTATCATGAAATCGCTGTGAAAGATCTAAAATTGAAGCAGCTTCAGTTACTTCGTGTATGTCTACTGTTTACTTAATTTGACGGAATCTTTTTCTTGGAATCCACTAAGCATTTTTATGCCAAGTATTGATCTTTCCCTTTGATAATATGTCTCCCTGTGACTACTCAAGAGTGTGAAGACCACTTTCTTATCTTTAGTCACGTAATATATATTGGGATTCTCATAATTTGCATATTTTCAAAAATGGAAAAATTTTGTAGCTGGAACATTATAAAGCGCAGACTCAGACGAAGCAGAATTACACAAAAGTAAGTGCCGAAGCAGATGAACAAGATGAACGTCTGCCGTTTCCGACACTGGTAGATGCATTACGTCAAGTAGATTCATCTGTTGGTTTCAACATCGAAATAAAATATCCAATGATGCAAAAGGTTTCTTGTTTTATGAAACTTCTCAGTATGTCAGTTTTAGCAGTGTTGAATATTACTAAAGCAGCAGGAAGATTAACGAAAATTAATAAATATCCGAAAGGCTGAAGATTAGTAAATGTTGGATAATTGCTTCATCTAATTTTACATTTCAATGTTTATATTTGCTGAAATGGGAGCCACGAGACTTTGTTTTTGTATTAGCACTTATGAAATGTTGTTTTTACTTATGAAAAGCATAAAATTTGATAATAAAAGTAATAAACTTTCAATGTTTTTTTTTTTTTTTTTTTTTTCAGAATGGATTGCATGAATGTGAAAATTATTTCGAGCGCAATGATTACATTGACATCATTCTTAATGATGTGTTGGGAAGTGCTGGCGATCGTCGAATTGTGTTCTCTTCATTTGATCCTGACTGCTGTGCTCTGTAATTTTGCATTTTGATATTCTTTTATGATTATGTAAGGGTAAATATAAATTACACAGAATAACATTCTGTAAAAAAAATTTTTTTTCAATAAATAAATGATTATTGAAATTTTTGCTTTTGTGAAAGATGATTATGTGTTTATAGTAAGTTATTTATGAAAATAAAAGGAAACCGAAGTGTTTCTAAAAAAGAAAAATGCTAACTGAGACTTAACTCTTCGAATTATTTAAACTGAAGAGATTTTTGACGAGGCTAACCTTATCTACTTTCTGTAATATGCAATTTTCACTTTTTCCCCAATTTGTTCAATAAATTCATATCTTATGGAGTGATCAAATAATGTGGTGCACATTTGATCAAACTGCTTGTTACTTAAAGAAAATTATATTAATAATATCTTGTGGCGTTTTATGTCTTCTATAATCAAATACATATTGCAGATTAGCGGCAAAACAACATTTATATCCAGTATTATTTCTTTGCGTTGGTGTCACAACTCGTTATGAACCATTTGTTGATTTGCGTTCATCAACTTCTAATTCTGCTGTTAATTTTGCTGCTTGTATTGATATTCTGGTAAGTTTTATTGTTTACTCATTCTTAATGTTGAAAATCACATATTTAGATGCATTCCCGTATTCTTATCACATACGTTTAATTTTTAATTCGGTAATTCACTTTAGTTTTGTCTTTTTTAGTTTCAGTTTAACTTACGCCAATTACTATTACAAATAGTAAGTGCTTATGGAGATTTCAAAAAAAGGGATCATACCTTTGTGAAATACTACCTTTCGTTTAGTTCCATTATTGTAATTTTTTAGGGTGTAAATTTTCATACGGAAGACTTATTAAGAGATCCTTCGCCCATACAACGTGCTCGAAAACTTGGTTTAATATCGTTCGTTTGGGGTGATGATCTTGATAATAAAGAAAATATTGATTATTTCAAAAAAGTACTTCGCGTCGATGGCCTCATTTATGATAGGTGTGTTTTTGAAAATTATTAAGATAATTGAATGATAAATCATTATCTTTTCAAAGCACTTATAATGGTGTATTTAAAATGAATTGTACTAACTCTACACTAGCTTAATTATCCTTGATTTATATAATCTGTATTTAATTATGGTTCTTATATGAATTTTTTTTTTGTATTCTAGAATTGGCGAAATTGAGACACGTAGAAATGTTTTTCTAGTGGAACGTGAAGCAAAAACATCGTTATTTCGGCAGAGTAATTCGCCAACCACATCTCGTACCGTTTCACTTGACGAAGGACCACCGTCACCAAGTGCATCGGAAAATTCTCATTCCTCAGGATCTACTATTTCGTCGAACAATTCGTTTTATTTGAGTCATTTACAAGCTTCTTTTCCTGCCAGAAAAATGTACGTTTCCTTTTTTTTTTTTCTTCTTATATATACATATATATTTTCACTGAAGAATCGATCTAACTTCGAATTTTTTATACAAATCATTATCTGTGCGACCAGATACTTAATATAAAAAGGAGCGGTGTTGAAGGATGGTAGAGGATATTTTTTTACAATCTCAAAACCACCTAAAAAGATGCCTCCATTACCACTTGCCTAGCTGATGAGTAAATTAACTGAAATGATGAATCAGTGTGCACCTTAGTGCTCTTCTAGTGCATCGAAGATCAGTGATTTCTGGGTTGTACTTCTTCCATCACCGAAGTAATTGACGATTCTTGCATTTTTTTTAAAGTTACTTTTAACGTTAAAGATAGGTGGTTGAAAGAAGTTTATAATTTCTAATGAATGTGTCATGCGGTGCTATCTTTCACCTTTCCAAAGCTGACATTTTTTCATAGAAATTATGGATTAGAATGATATTTTCAGCGGGAAACTTGATTAAGTTTCAACATTTTCATAATAAAAAAAGAAACAACAGTACATCAGTGACTATAACTTTTTTTTTTCTCCTTTCAGGTCAATTGCATTAGAAGATGTACAAGTGAACAATAGCAATGGTTTACATGACAAAAATCTTTTTACATCAAATAATTGTCTGCACTCTGCTCCATTTTCTTAAAATTTAGTTATTACCTTTTATTCTCGACTGTTTTTTTTTTTTTTTTTTTTTTTTTTTTTTGCGCAGTTTCTCTTAAATATGTTGAAGCGCAAATGCTTCACCTAATTTTTCATTTCTTTTTTCTTTTTAATGAATAGACATGAGGTATGGGTTGGAATTTTAGTAAATTTTCTAAATACTGAGAAATTCACCATTAGTGTAAATTCATGAAATATGTTTTCTAACCTTTTCGTTTTGTTTTTCTTTCGTTTACATTTATATTGCATCGAACTTTTTATAATTAACGTTCAGAATTTCAAAAAAAAAAAAAAAAAACTTTTTCTCGAAGTTTTAATTAACTTTCTATTAAAATCAAATAGTACTAGCTCTGTTTTATAACTGTATTTTCGAACAATTGGATCGTTTTACGAACACTTGATAAGCACTAAGTGCTCGACAACTTATGATTGTTAATTGATGTTTGTGAGATTATCCCAAGTATTGTATTTCTGTAATGTTAAATTTAACACGCTCATTTAGTAATTGATTCTTTCACTGGACATTCTGAAATGTTATGTTCTGCATGTTGTATAACATTTGCAAAATGATATATGCTTAAATCATTCCGTGCATGGACATTGTTATGTTTGTTTCTTTACTTAGTTTTTGTCGAATATTTGTTGGTCAATTTTTAATGTCAGATATCGCTGAAGTTTCCTTTTTACTCGGAGATATTATTTAATTTTCTCACAGACGATCGCAAATCATTGATAAATAGTACAATACAATTTGACTTTAGATGACACTAAATATATCTATTTGCAAAGAAAGTATCATTATTAAATTTCGGTTTTGTAGTTCTTCAAGGTTTTTATTGAATCCTTTTTGGTTTTTTCTATTCTTTCTTGCTAAGTTTTGCATATTTTTTCCAACACCATATTAAAGCATCATTTCGTCATTCGAAGCGTCACTATGTTTGTGTACATAAATGTACATTTGTCACTAAACATTGAGAAGTTAAGTTTTAATAAAGAGGTTTGCTGGGTGATTCATTTTGAATCGTTAAGAAAAATCATTTTTTGATGACGGGGCACACTGCCTTTGATGTTTATATATATATATATTTTTTCCGTGATATGTTTTACGTATCCATAGTCATATTACCGTACAACATATGCAATGAATGATGTAAAATTGTAAAATTAAAGGAAAAAATGTAAAATTTCGAGATCCTTGTGATTCTTGAAATGAAAAGAAAAAAGTCTCACATAAAGAATGATACTGTTTGCATTGAGAAAGGTTTAAAACTGATAGGAAGGGAAAGGGTTCTATGAAATGTTTCAGAATTATTTCAGCAAGAAAATATCACAGGTGATAAGAGTGCCTAAGGCTGTACGGTTTTCGAATGTTAATATAAATTTTTTATATGTTGTTTATACTTTCAATCCTAGCCTTATATTTCATGCTATAACTTCATTTTATCCATCATGCAAACGAAGTGGAAAAATTATTTTAAGATGATAACATTTGGCTAAATTATCGTATTATTAATATGTTAGACTAATCATTACGTGGATCAATACTGCTTTACCCTTCCCTTCCTCTCTTCCATCGGCAACAGTTTGTTACTCATTTATAGTTTTATAATTTACTCATTGGGAAGCGTCTATATTGATATCATATAGGAAGCTTTCTAGTAATGATAAGACCATGTTTTTTACAATCTAATATATTTGGAATTTTTTATCAAATGTCCAACAAGACTGATTCATCTATGAAATATATATTTGTCCTCTTTTATTACCACTAATGATAATAAGTAGTAAATAGTTTTGTCAAAAAACAGATGACGAGGCCACACCCCCAAATATTCACATCACCGACATACCTTATTCCAATTGATGCTTCATTTTAATGCGGGCATATTAAGATTGGTTTCGCTGTGAAGTGCCACCGTAATAGTGTGTATCGCAGGCAACAAGACAAGTATTTGCACTATTTGGTTTCCAGTTTATGACTTTTTTAATTCTTTCTTTTAAATACTATGCATTAGAAGATTTTATTGAACCAAACACGACAGTTTGACAGTAGTTGGTGAATTTCGAAATTGTCAAATGTTTCGTTGTAAATTGTTTAATAAATAAACGTAAATGTAATTAATAGAGATGTAAGATGTGTTGCATATAATTTTTAGAAAATAAATCGCTATTTTGACAGGAATCTATTAAGCTTGATGTAATTTAACATGAAGTTTAGATTTTCGATATGCTATGATTGATGATGTAAGTTACTCTTACCTAATAATTTTACCATTGAAGAAAGATGTTAACCCATGGAGTAAATATTAAACCAACAAGTAGTAGTGATTCTTCAAATCCAATCAGAAAAAAAGTGGAATCATTGGTTTCTCAGAAATTACACACTGATCAGGTATTAAAGCAGTTTCTATCCATGATAGTATATATTCTCGTTGTGAATTTATATATAGGAATACATTTATCATTGTTTTTTGATTACTTCAGTCAATTTTAATGCAGTTCGAGATGTGATACTCTTTTCTATTTACTTAGTTCGCTAATTGATGATAAAAAATACTAGTACTTTATATTAATGTTGTTCCTTGTGGATCCTGGTCTAAATTAGGAAACTAATAAGACAGAAGTGACAGGCTAGAAGATTTTTCTTTTTTAAAGCCTTGAAAGTTCTGGAATGCAACAATACATGGAGAAATAATCAGCGAATTATCTTAGATTTATTCAAGTCCATTTAGAAGAGGAAATTGAATGTTCCCAAGATTTATTGTATTGTCTAATTGTGCATTTAATTATTTTCATACTGGTTTATTTATTTTAGTTCGTAATTTTTTCTTTTTTTTAGGATTTTTTAAAAATGGTGGATTATGTTGCACCAATGGTGAATAAAATTGATATTCATGTAGAACGAAGATTGATGTACGAGTTAGAGGAACGAAAAATTAAAGCAAATCGCGAGTACTTGAAAGCTTTTGGATTGGTATTTGTTTGAAGTTTTACTTTTCTGTGTATTCCAAGGCTTTCTGTTAGCAATGACTGCCATGCTTTGGATGTTTTTTTTTTTTTAGTAGTAACAACAAAATGCAGGTAAATGATCGAGTGCAAGATTTTGTGGCCAAAGTCATGCAGTTGAACAGTATATGTCAGGATATGACGAATAAAATACAGTCTAATAAAGCAAAAACGCAAGATTTATTATCTAGAACTGCTGCACTGCAGAATGAAAAGTAATTTCTTCAATAAATTTAATAACTCTAATTCAATAATATTTCATATATCCAAAGAGTAGAGAAGATGTTAACCAGTAGGTGATCACAGATTTAGGCCACGAATGAGTTTAATTTTGATCGTGATCAACCATCAATTTAGTCATTATACTGTATAATGTTATATAATTAAGATTCGATGACTTAATGTATCAGACGAAAGACATTTTTTTTTTTTATTTTCTGTTTTCTGTTTTTTCTTTATTTTCTGAGAGCTTAATATAATATTTTGTTGCTAATATCCTTCTTTGTAGTGCAAAAGTTATTTGTCATTTGACGATGCAAGGCAACAATATTTTAAATGGCAGTAACATAGTCTTATCATAAGTCTTGTAATGTGTTATTTATAAGCTAATATTTGCAATAATAATTTAGGTTTTTGCAGGCGAACACTTGAGAGAAAACAGATAGCAATTGATAATTTCTTGAGTCGTTATTCATTAAAACCTGAAGAAGAAACCGCTTTGAAAGGTTCCGATGCTGGTCAGTTTTTCTTACATTTTATATAATAAGTATTATAATGTTGAGATATCTCGATAATTATAGCGATTCTTTTAAGTCGTCTTGCTTCTATTCCTTTCATTATATGAAACATTTAGGAATTTATTAAAATTTTAGCTCAAATCTTCATATTTGAAAACAAAGCTTTTCCCTTTACAGATGGCACTGTTAATGCAAAATTTTTTGCGGCATTACAACGTGTAAAGCAAATCCACCATGACAGTAAACAACTTCTTCGATCTTCTGGAGAACATCTTGCTGCGTAGTTTCTTTAAATGATTTTATATTTACTCTTTCAGCATTTTCTGAGGATAAAAGATAATCACTATGGAAAGGTCGAATATATTAATCGATAAAAATTAGTAGTTTTTAGCTTAGAAATAATGGAAGAAATGGCAAATAAATTGGAAGAAGCGTATGAAGTGCTTTACCGTTCAATTCAGCGTATACTTTCGTCTTCATTTTAATTTTAATTAAAATCTAACCTTGATACTTCATCAAAATGTACTGTTTTTGGTAATGTAATTTGAATGAATTTTTTGTAGGATTACAAAAAAGCCTCGGGAATTAAAGTAGAAAGTATTTAAGATAAATGATATATACTTCACAAAAATCTCAGGTTATTTCAAAAAAATAAATAAATGCATTGATTTGTTACAAACATGAAAATACATTTTTATTCTTTGAAATGAACATTTTTATTTTTTTGGTGATATATAGTTATCTTCCAGTAGTTTAAGTTGCTGAATGGTTCTACTCAAATTTCATTTAAAATCGATGAAGTATCAAGGTTAAATTTTCATAAAATTTGATTTACAATGAATAATTTTTATTAAAAGTTTAGGACGGATTTATTTTGCTGTCTTGGTTGTTAAATGATGTACCTTATCATCTTCAGCTTATGAGTATTTAGGAGAATGTCGATTGCTTAATGTGGAATTCTTGGAATTAAAAGGAGTTTTGGTACAGTCGATTGCATCGCTTCAAGACCGTGAAGTGCTTTTCAAATATGCCTTAGATGAGTACACTACGGCTCGAAGAAATTATGTAGTACGAGCATATATCGATGCACTAACACGAGGAGGTTCGTTACGTTTTTTCTCTCTCTAAGTTAAGGCACAATATAATCCTTATCGTATCTATGATAGCAGTAGACTGCTTGTCAGCAAACATTTTTTACCGTTTATTTCTAAATTAAAGAACAGGCTGCATGATTGAATCTTACAGATCATTGGAACAAAGCTTGTTTCAGAAAAACCTATTCCATACAAATTTTCAATTTTTGTTTAGATATTTACATTTTCTGAGCGATATGATAATTCAGTTTAGATAAAGATAATTTTTTCTTAAATTTCTAGAAATCACTTTCTTGTCGAATATAATTAACTGATAGTATGAAGTTGCTAGGTCATTCATTAGATTTGAATTTTACTCAGCATATATTTTATTCAACTGTAACTTCCAGCGTTAAAAATTCATTATTTTCTCCTGCAGGTGCTGGTGGTACACCTAAGCCAATTGAAATGTTGTCCCATGACCCACTGAGGTAGGTTGTTTAATGCTTATATTCTCTTGATTGCCTAAGGCAATTTTTTTACAAATTTTATTTCTTTTTTTTTCACTAAGAAACTTTTTTATTTTCTGGTTAGCCAATTAGTTATTTAATATTTCGTCATACTTCGGTAAACTAAAATTTTTGATTTTTGGTAATTCAGATATATTAGTGATATGCTTGCATGGATTCATCAGGCAATGGCTACCGAAAGAGAACTTTTGCAAGCATTGCTAAAATTGTGTAATTCAGATGGTATTTGTTTTTTTCTTACAAAGATTTGATTTAGAATTTCTCTGTACGAACAAAAAAATAAAATAAAAATAACGATATTTTACAAAAAGATATGAAAAATTTGACATCCAAGAAATGTGAACTATGCAGTTATTTTCCTTTCCAGTGATATTAGGTAAGAACAACAATGCATTCTTTAGTTCTGTAACTGTATTTTATTGTTTTATTAAGCGCAAAAAACATATGTATTGAACTGTTTGTGTGAAATCTAAGAATCTATTATTTAAAAGTTTAAAAACTTTCAGTTTTAAAAGAGAACAGCATTAGTATACAGAGCCAAATTTCCGAAGCACTGTGTCGTCCGTTTAAAGTACGTAAAATGATTTTTTTTGATCACATGTTTTGCTTTTCGTCTAAATATAGGAATTTTTTTATTGGTTACCCTGAACTTATTACTCTTTATTTTAAGTAAAAAAAAAAAAAAAATTCAAGTGTTTATAACCAGGTTCGTGTCGAACAAGCTCTAACAACTGAAACGAATTGTATTGTGCTTTATCGATTGTCATGCCTTTTCACTTTTTATTTGGAAACAATGTCGTAAATATTTTTTGAATTTTCTTAAATTTATTATTACATTTGTTGTAGTCCGTTTCATCTTGAATACGTTTACTTTCTTTTTTCTTTTTCTAGGTGTTTTGAATCAAAGATTTTGTGGCTAAATTATTGCAGCATAATCGAAGTTCAGTGAAATATATAAAAAATTAAAAAAAAAAAAACAGGATGCGACGGAATGAAAGAGAAAAGAGAGTCGTTTTTATGACCAATTTTTCTTTCGATTTAGACAACTCGTTTGAATTTTGAGTCACCTCTTCCTCAATTGAAATCAAAACCCAACTGAAATCTGAATTTTTTTTTTTTCAGATCCTCCTTGAACTCGGATTCGATGTTAATTCAGACATTTACAGAGCTCAAAGAATTGACATTAAACTTGTTTTTCAGTGGATTACATTCCTTAGTTCAGAAACTTGTTGGAAAGGTTGGATTAATATATTTATAATATTTCACTGTAAGAAAGCTAAGAAAAGTGGAATTTTGAATAAGTAGATCGATTCAATTTTGATTAGTTTTAGAGACGAATAGCTACTTGTTAATACTCGGAAACTTTTGGAATACTGAATGTCTTTGTTCTTTTGATATTTCGATAAGAATAAGCAACTTTATATATATATATATATATATATATATATATATATATATATATATATAAATTTTTGTTAAGATTGGTACGCCTGATTACGATTTGCTTCCAGTATCTGCTGTTCATCAGGTACTCATATTGCTTAAAGATGTTTTGGAATCACATGATGGTGGTGTTGCTGCTGTGGCTGATAAAAAAGAAAATTTTGAAAGGGTAAGTAACTTCATTTGACTAAGAGCTACCTTAGTGCGACGCTGTTACTATATTTTATAATAGATTAGACAGGAACTTTTTTTGTTACAACTTACTAGCATAGCATGAGTTTTTTTTTTTGGAAATCGAAAACGAGTTAAGATATAACATTTTAATTTGTTTTCATGGGAAAATATGGTTCTAATGTTGATATGAACAGATGTTGACATTTCATTAGTAAGTTTTTGAATCTGGCATGTTATTTATTTTTTTTTTTTTTTTTTTCAGATCTTTACAGCGGTTCTTGATCCGCTAAATCAAGCGGTTCAATTATCAGCAACACAACTTCATTCACCTATTGATGTTGCAGTTTTTACCCTTAATTGTCTTTCCGCTATAAATTCTGCTATCATGCTTTATCAATTCACGGATTCACGCCTTGAAATGATTAAAGCTCAGGTGCGATTATATTTTTGTTGATTTCTTGGAACATATGATCTGACAGGTTTCTACCCGGTAAAAAGGAAAACTGTTATGATGGAGACTAGCAGACAGGGAAGAAAGGGAGGGATGAAACTTGGTCTTTTTACCTTTTGAATTTGTTGTTAGTCATATAATTTTATAATAGATTCTTGCCCAGTTTATTCTGAATTTTAACATAATGGCTTCTTTCGGAGCACTATTAGCTGAAGATGCTGAAATAAATTTCTTCAATATTCCTTTCAAAGTTTTCGTTCATTTTTTGAGATTGACGCAAACATTGATGTTCTTGTTAGTGAACAAGCTACCTTCATTATAACACAAACAGGATTAATTAAACTATACCGCAAAGCCTCAGCTCATCAGCCAAGCCAAGTACCATTGCATTTATTTTAAATTTTTTTTCCCAATATCATTCTAGTTTTTTCTTTGCTGCAGTTTAAAATGAAGTTGCTACAGTTATTGCTCTGTCTGTCTTAACATACTAGTCTAAACCAACCCAATAAATCAATTTTTGCTAATATTGCTATCAGACTCTAAATAAATAATATGATATGATTTTCATCGTTAGTTAGTCTTTAATTAGTTTTCAAACCTTTGATTGCAAATGCTTTCGAAATAATTGTATTTTAAAGATTTCTCATTAACTAATATTTGAAACATTGTATTTGTAAATTATTTGCTTTTCCATAATACTTTCAGGGAGCGCTTTCTGAAATCGCTGGGATGGAGCCGTCTCAAATATCGAGTACATTGCTTTCATTTGACACTTTTCTGACAAATCCTAATAAATATAAGTCAGATCAATGTGTGAAAATATCATCAGCTAGACTAAGGTATGTTTAAATGTTCATCGTGTGGTCTAATCATTTTACTCTACCATCCGTTCATTCATGTAGTGTTCAAAAAAAAAAGCTTAATGATCTGCCATTCTACCACTAATCTTGTAGCTTAGACATGTTATGTCTAAGATATTTAAATTAATTAAAATTCAGGGATACGGTACGAGAGCGGACAATCGAAACTGTGGTAGCAGCTTATAGAATAATTTACAATAAAGTAATTGATCCAAGCAACAAATACTCTCAACTACCGATTAAAACCGTCGAACAGGTACGAAATTTGCGGTTGTATGCTATAAAATAGAAGCGGTAGTTCAGGCACTTCAGTTGGTTTAATTGCTTAGAACGTTTGATTTAGCTCAAACTTTTAATACCTAGTAGTGTGGAGTGCAGTTCCATTCTTGCATTTGTACCAAACCATTTTAAATCATATTTCCATTTTAGGTCCAGGAATTACTGAAGGTATGGATGTAAAGTATGGAACTTTCCAGAACTTAGTTTCCATATTTGGTGAAAGTCGTAAATTTCTTGATCCTTTTGTTTGATATCGTTTGAAAATAACGTATTTGTATGCCTTTTGTAGCTTATAACTCAACTTTCGCGTTTGCTGTGATATTCTTGTTAAAAATTTTTAGATCTCACAATATTCAATTGATAGGATTCAAAAACTGTCTTCATTTTTCAGTATCATTTTGACATTCAATTCTGAAATAGAAAAACTGACTATTATGATACTGTTTAATTGCCAATTATTCAGGATATAAGAATTTTCTCAATGAGTTTCCGTAGTTCATAATTTTTTATTAAACTGCTAGTATGATGCGGTGTGATATGATAGATGGCTGTAATATGGTAATGTGATAAAATTGTGATTTATATTTGTTTATATTTGAACATGTGCTTACGTGTTCATTTGTGAGTTATCAAATAAAAAAAAAATGTTACTAAGGTAAAATATTCTTATGCCTATTTTTGGTACAGATTTATTTATCAAAAATTTTCATTTTCCTACGTTATTGTCGCAGGTAAAGCAAAAGAATTCTTTTTGTAATTAAATACGGTGATACATTTGACGTATTTTCTTAAAAATAAAAATAAAGGAATTGCTAAAAGATTGTGATTGTTCTGAATCATCCAGTTTGTATTTTTTATCAGAATCATTTAAAAAATTCATTTGAGAGTGTTTTTTTTTTTTTTTAATTACAGTTCAAAGGAAACTTTTTTTTGAATCCTTCAATTTTTAAAATTTGCAACGATAATTTTTATGTGTGACTATGAGATATTCTCGAAAAAGAACATTCGTAATCAGAAGTAAATTTAAAAAAAAAAAAATGATTACAGGAGAGTTGGTAATGCTAATGTGAATTAAACAGCGCTGATATAGAGTGATAAGTGCTGACGTGGAATAGTAACGCTGACGTAAACTAATAGTTTAGACACGTCAGCGTTCAATGTTGTTAGAAAAGAGAGCGATGAATAATGAAGATCGATGTATATTTGTTTTAGCAAAATTTTGGATTATTGAAATATTTGCATTTTTATTTTTTGTTAGAGGTTTTTTTTAACAAGTAAGAACGTACTGGTTGTTGTTAAATTCAAGTTGAAATGTCAGTCTTGGCAAAATTTAGGATTATTTTTGTGTTTGTATATTATATATTATATCAAATGCTGCAAAGTTTCAGTTGAAAAAATCATCTGATCGTCTTTATCGGTGTATCCGCTCATTCTTTTTTATCATTCAATTTCAGTTACCTTTGCTAATTTTTAACTGTTTTGGAATGCATCAAGGAATGTGTATGTGTGTGTGTGTGTTAATTTAATTTGTTTAGCAATTTTGCAGTAAATTGGAAATGTTTTTTCATCAGAATCGTCGACGACAGAATAATTATGGTATATATTTATTGGCATATCAGCTGTTTAATTCACGTTATATTCCACCAATTACTTTAGCTGTTATAATATTTCAAATGGCGATTTTTCTTGGTTATTTCCCTTTTCTTGCACAACATAGGGCAGGTATGTTAGTTCAGTTTATTGTTGAAGAAATTCTGTTAATTTTTAATACTGTTTGTCTTTCAAGTACATATTTAGCAATGATCTTATTTCGTGTTTTTTACTTTTAGATTTAAGTTATTTGTATTTTTTATTTTCTTTTACATCATTATATTTTTTTCTTCATTTCAATTTAATACCAAAACTTAATACTTAAAAGTAATTGTATATATAAGAATGAAAATGAATAATAGTATAAATAGGATGTTTCAGTAATGAGTAAATCTTATTTGCTAAAGAAATTTTATTTAAAAAGAGACATGAATGTCATTTAGAAATCAATATTTTAAAACAGTAAATGGGATGTTTCGATAATGAACAAGCTTTGCTGAAAAATTTGGTTCTAAAAAAAGAAAAAAAACATGAATGTCATTTAGTAATTGATATTTTAGAACAGTGTTATTATCTTTAGATGTCCTAATTGATTTCTTGCATTTTAAAAAAAGCTCATAATTTAATTAGTCTTTAAAGAAGTAATAATTTTTAGAAGCTATGTGTCTTCTGCCGTCGCGTATATTATATCGATGTGAATGGTTACGAATGCTTGCATCCACAATTATGCATGTTGATGACATGCATCTTTATTTCAATATGATCTCATTATTGTGGAAGGTATTTTCTTTTTTTTTCATTTTTTTTTTACTCAGGAAGGTATTTTTTTTTACATTCTATATATTAATAAAATATTAATTATAGTTAGCAAATAAACGCAAACGTTAATTTAGAATAGAAGATTTTATTGGTTTTCTTTAATAATTTAAGTGAATTACATGCTAATTTTAATATGTTGAAAATAGTTATATCTGAATTTCATTACGTATTATTTATGCATTCATGAGAAATTTGCATTATTAGTTATTCTTTGTTTATCTATTCATTCTTCTTGGTCATTAAATTTAAATGATAATACTTAACGAAATGTACATTAAACAAAAATCACTTTTATTAATAAACTATTTTATTTAAATATCTTTTTTCCTTCTTATATTTATTTTTAGAAATTTCATTAATGTATATTCGTCACAAGCTTTAGTAGATAGCTTTCGAGATACTCTAATAATTGCAAATTCTATGTTTATTTTAGGGTCGACGTTTAGAGCCTTGGCTGGGTTCGAATCGTTTTCTATTGCTCTTGGCAGTATTTGCCGTTGCAACAAGCAGTACTATGGTTGGATTAAGCTATTTAGCTGATGAAGTATTCTCTTTTAATGGTGGTGGCTATATGAATCAATGTGCTATTGGTTTTTCCGGTTAGCTAATTGATTCCTTTTTTTTTTTTTTTTTTTTTTTTTTTTCGGTTAACTGATTGATTCCTCTCTTTCGATTAGTTGATTGATTCCTCTTTTCCGATTAACTAATTGATTCTGTTCAGACTTTAAAATTGTTTTAGATAATATTCAGGTGGTGTGAACAATGTTTTTTCGTACAGTTTTGGCTCACCAACTCATCCATCATATATGTTCACTGTTCTACTGCTTGAATTTAAAAAAAAAAAAAAAAAAAAAAAACATTTTGTAAAGAAATAAATCGTTTCAAAATTTATTTTACAGGTGTACTTTTTGCTTTGAAAGTACTCCATACAACATATTTTCCTTATTCGGATCATAATTTATTTGGATGGCTTCCTATACCATCACAGCTTGCTTGCTGGGCAGAACTGTTCTTTCTACAAGTTGGTTAAATGTTAATTCACATAATTTTAAATATATTTTTTACATTTTTCACAACACTTTAGTTATTTTCAATATTTCTATGCTTTTCTATGCTTTTTCTATGTTTTTTTTTTTAAATTTTTTTCTCGTATGATATTATATAAATCGGTTTTATATTGTAGAGATTGGTTTTTTTAGATCTCAAAAAATTCTTTTATCAAATACACGTTTAATGTTATACACTGCAGTGAGGATATTATTAATTGATGCAATACATTAAATAATCGCTGAGAACTTGCAGAACTGATATTTTACAAATCGATTTCAAAATTATTTCAACCATTAAATCGGGCATATTTTGTACTTTTTTTAATATTATGCTACTCTAATTTCATTTTTTAAAGATGCTGACTCCCAATGTATCATTTATTGGTCATCTTTCGGGCATCATTGTTGGTTTAGCCTATACGATGGGCCCATTGAAAACAGTTGTTGACATTCTAGAAAGCATCATTTCTCTTTTACTTGGTCAGTCCTTTTTTTCCTTACAATTCTGACTCCATTTGTTGTAATAAATTTAACTTTCTTACTGTCAGTGTTCATATTGGTCCAATTTCATTTTTATTTATTTTTTTTAAAGCGATGTAGAATTTAAGTTTGGTTCTTCTCTCTCTCAAATAGCATAATATTGAATAATTCCAGGTAGTATACCGAAATCATTTTCACAGACAAGGAATAGAACAAGATCAAATAATAGAAATTGGTTCACTAATTTGAGCTTTGGAGGTAGAAACAGCGCTGCATATGAAAGACCTTCATATGGATGGGAAAATGAACAAAGTTATTGTTGTTTTAATAAAATGTGACATTCAATATATTCTAATAGATTAGTATTTAATTCCGTTTCTTGAAAGTAGTGAATCAAAGTAACAAATCCAATACTAATCTGATGTATATTGAGAGATTGAATTTTTATTTCACTTTTGATGGTGATTATACGAGTAGTTTACCATTTTATGCGAGAAGATAGGTTGAATGAAATTATTATCTTAACTAATTAGCAGACTTTAAAAAAGTTTCCTGGGGTTTAGATTTGGAACTTTATAAGTGTAATGTGAATGTTCTTTGGTATTTATTAAATCAATTCTACCAGTATGTTTAAAATTTTAGGAAATTTTAACGAGTATACAGGTGGTATGTCTGAAGAGGAGCAGCTATGGCGAGCAACACAGAGAAGTTTGTATGAAGACAGTTGATATTTGTCGTTCTTCTAAACCTTTTTTAGTATCGATATTCACTTATTATATTTTAGAGCTTCTTGCAGAGCTTTTATTAATTACATCTGTAAATGAAATTACCAAGTAAAGCAGAAATGATTTTCTATTTATTAAATGTAAAATTTAGATTTATTTAATTAATGCTTTTTGGGAAACTGAGGCACTGATATTTCCAAAAATAATTTTTCTTTTTTTTTTTCTTGACGAAATAAATATTGTGCTTATTTTAATTTAGCTCTTTTTATAAAAGAAATTATTGTGTATACATAATATTAGCTGTATTGAAAAATAAATGCACAAAATAATTACTTTCAATTTTCATAATTACATAACTTAAAATATTGTATTTCAGCAAATGTAATTATGTCTCTCTGTTTATGATTCATTAATTTTCTTTAATCAAAAATCCTAAAAGCTATAATTCCTTATCATAGTATTATTATTTTGGAGAAGTTATGAAGTTTATTAAGAAAGAAAAACAATGTTTATAACTCTTTTTTTCTTTCTGTTTAGATTAATTGTATATTAAATATGTAATTATATAAAATGTATATTGTAACCATTTGTATATTAAATGTATTTTGTAATATACAATTTGCTTAATATTTCACTCTAATGATCAACTAAGAGATGGAAAAAAAGAACTAAATATCTATAAAAATTTTTATTTTAAAATATGTATAATTGTTGATTTCGAAATATTGTCGTGCGGTGTGGCTATCATAAAATTCAAGAATGTACATTTATGGTGAACAGTATCATGGCTATTACTATCATTATGCGCCATATGGTGGTGGTTTATTGTTTATAATTATGATTCTTCTTATTTGTTGTTGTTGCATGTTAAGCGCAACGGAAATACCGCCATACGGATATTATTATGATTGTATATGTTGTGGACCATGTATTAATTGTCATCCATTTCATCGTCATCAGCATCATTTAAATCCTGTTTTCATCGTATAACTAACTAACTGATTATCAGGTAGAAATTTATTTCATTTAAATTGAAAAATTGAGAATGGAATAAACATTTTTTTCCAAGGAAAAATTTATGAGATATTAGACTTTAAAAAAAAAAAAATTATGATTAACCTTGTTATATATATATATATATATATATATATATATATATATATATATATATATATATATATATATATAATCATTTCTTTTCTGCTATGTAAAATGTAATCGACTAAATCTTTTTCTGTTCCAATTTAAAAAAAAGATTTAAGAATGAGAAAAATTCTGAAAGTTAATATTGTTTTTTTTTTTCTTTTTTTTACAGATGCAAATAAAGCCAAATAATTGTGCATTCAATTTAATTCAACAAAGAACAAAAAAAAAAAAAAGGAAGGAACCTGAAATTAATTTCGTAATTCCTGGGCAAATACCATAATTCAGTTTTTTTTTTTTTTTTAATTCCTTATCTGTAACTAATTTTTTATTTTCACATGAAAATTACGAATGAATTATCTTGCTTTATAACTTAAACTATGACTATCTCACACAGAAATGAACCGCTCAGTGATTATCTTGTAATTCATTTTGTTTTTTCCGGTTAAGAGAAAACGAAAAAAGAAATGCAAGAAGTTAATGAATCTTTTTTTTTTTTTGTATAAATTAATCAGTAGATTGAGATTTTTGAAACTAATTCTTGAGATAATTTTTGAACACAAATAAATAGTTATTCTTAAACAATCAACTAATTAACGATATCATCAATATATATATATACTTTTTTTTTTTTCGTTTTTTATTACATCAAATAGTAAAATACCTTTAATAGATGAAAATTATTGCAAAATTGTAGTGGAAGCAAAAAAATGTTTTTGGAAACAAACCTTTATGATTTGGTTAAATTGTTATTCGGGGGAGAAGTTTGATGTCAGGGAGATGTGTTGGATGCCAGCTAAATATTTGGGCAACAATTGAATAAAATGATTCGGAGGATTGGATGATTTAAAAACTGATATGATTGACAATAGTATGGTTATAAATCTACATTGATGTTAGACAATGATCCAAACAAAGGAGAGGAGGTGCTTGCATGGGCACCAGTTGCTAATAAAGAGCTTATTAGATAACCGCATGATTATGATAGCAAACAAAGAACAATGTAGATATCCTCATGATTGTAAGGATTGCTAACAAAGAACAATGTAGATATCCTCATGATTGTAAGGATTGCTAACAAGGAACAATGTAGATATCCTCATGATTGTAAGGATTGCTAACAAAGAACGATGTAAATTGTTTCAATATGTAGAAGCATAAATTTGGAAACAAAGAGTCCGAAGTATAAGCATTATTTGCGGAAATTACGTGGATATCTTTACTACAATTTGCAACTCATATTTTTAGATCGCGATATTAAAATCCGCGACACTCCCGACCGAAGGAGCTAAATGCTTTAGTTCGTTGGACAGCTTTGGTTGATTGCTTCGCCTTATAGCGCTTCTAGTTCGTAGAGCAATTGGTTCTTGTTCATTGACATTTTGCACTGATTTGTTAAACATTGTTGGTTGAGGGTCAATTTCCTCACCTTTGACTTCCAGTGGGTATAACATATTCACCGGTCTGTTGAGTATTTTTCCTTTCGGTAATTCTATCGAGACACTTCTCACTTCTCCATCCTTTCCTGTTTTGATTTCTCTTATTCTGGCTAGTTTCCACATGCCACGGGGAATTTCTGGTTCATTTAGTAACACAATCTCTCCCTCGTGGGGAGTTCTTTTTACTACATCTCTCGGAGAAGAGTGTTCCCTTTGTGCTCTTTCTTTAAGAGTATTTAAATATTCCTCTTTCCATATTTCCCAGAAGGCATCGAGGGCCTTTAGTGTATTTGACCAGTATTGAATGAGTTTTTCTCTCGAATCCAATTTATGAGGGATAAAATCATCCATTTCATTCTTGTTTTTAGCAGGCATGATTAGATGCGCATTCGGTAGTATAAAGTCAATTGGACGCAATATGATACAATCATCAAAATTTACGTAAGTTAGTGGTCGAGTATTCAAAATACTTTCCACTTCCGCTACTAGCGTAATCAATTCCCGTTCCCATAATAACTTTCTGCCGATGGCTCTTTTCATTGCCCTTTTTGTTAACCCAATAAGTCGCTCATATACTCCTCCGTTCCAAGGCGCCTTTGGTATTATATTTTTCCAGATCATTTTCCTTTCCGCTAGGAATTCATTTAATTGTTGTTTCACAATGATTTTAAAAATTAACTGGAATTGACCAGCGTTGTCGCTTAAGATTAATTCTGGAAAGCCTCGTCTTGCTGTAAATCTTCTGAAAACATGTAAAAAGCTTTCGGCTGAAAGAGTTTCTACTACTTCTAGATGTACAGCTCTTGTTGTGAAACATGTGAATAGTGCTACCCATCTTTTTGTTGGCCCATTATCACTCCTGATATTCACAGGACCTAAATAGTCTAGTCCTACTCGCGCAAAGGGTCTTGATCTTGTGGTCCGAGATGCTGGAAGATCAGCCATAGTTGGTAATTTGAATGGTTTAGTTGTCCAGCGTCTGCACTTCATGCACTTATTCAAGATTCGTTTGACTTCCGTTCTACCTTTTGGGATCCATATCGTCGATCTCAGATTTGAGAGTGTATGAGCAATTCCAGCATGATACAGTTGTTCATGTCGTTGCTGAATAAAGAGTTCAGTTATGGTGTTGTGTCTCGGGAGATATATTGGGTGTAAGTTACTCTCTTTCATTTCAGAGTTAACTACGCGGCTTTTGTATCTCCATAGTTCGTTATCATAGAACAAATTCCATTTGATTATTTCATCTTTGGTAACTCCTTCTGACTGTGCTTGTTTGAATAGCACAATTTCTGACAACTCGTAATCCTGTGTTGTCAATATATTCTTTTCTTTCGTTGCCATCTTTAGCCAAGGAATTTCCCTTTTCATTGTTAATCTTATGAATTTCAGAACCCAACCAGTTGTTCTTATTAATCTTGACCATTTGCTAAAACGACTAGCATCTAAGATTCCGAAATGTTTGTTTATGATAATTGGTTCTGTGATGTGGGCCACAATTTCTTCATCCTGGTAATCCTCATTGTAATTGTATTTCCACTGTGGCCATTTTGATTCGTTTTCTGTTAACCACTTTGGTCCTTTCCACCAAAGATCATATCCTTTTAGTTTATTCGGAGAGATTCCTTTTGTAGCTATATCAGCTGGGTTTTGTTCACTTGGGATATATCTAAAATGGATTTTCGCCTTTCGTATTTCTTCTACCCTATTTTGTATGAACGTTGGTAGTAAACGGGAACTATTGTGAACCCAATGAAGCGCACATTGAGAATCGGACCATAAAATTGTTATCACGTCCTCAAGTTCTTTTTGTTTTAATACGAATTGTACCATTCTCACTCCGATGAGTATTGCCAGTAATTCTAATCGAGGTATTGACATTCCTTTAATTGGCGCAATTCGGGATTTAGCAAACACTAAGAATACTTCTCTTTCTTGAGTTCGAATGTATAAAGCTGCTGAGTATGCAGCAGTTGATGCGTCAGTAAAAACATGAAATTGTACTTGCTTGGAACAATTTGTTGTGAATCTTGGTAGATCCTTTAGTTTCTTTGGCCATTCGTTCGTGAGTAATTTCCACGTGGTTTCATCTTCCTCACTTATAGTTTGATCCCATGAAAGGTTCTTTTTCCACAAAGTTTGGAGAAACAATTTGAATCTTATCAGTATAGGAACTATGAATCCTAGTGGGTCATATTGTGAGGCTACGAATTGCAATATAATTCTTTTAGTTAATTTCTTACCAAACCATGGTTTTAACGTTACTTGAATGATATCTTGTTTGTGGTACCAATTGAGACCTAGAATTTTTTTAATTGAACTTACCTCTGCTCGATCTTGTACCGGAAGTTTTTCATTGACTTCTTGGTCGTTAGAGAGAAATTCCCGTACATTCATTGATGCTTCATTGAATATAATTTT